TAGCACCACAGAGAGCGATTTGACAATTTGTTCAGATGGACGAGTTCATCTATGTTCGGAAAAGAGGAGGGGGGGGACGAAGAGAATGGAATGCGGTCTGAAAGCCACCGTAAGCGTGAACAATCAATTAAGACCCGAAATGTTGATCAAATCCTTCCAATGATTGCTAAGTATACCTGTTGTTACAGCAATATGGACACTGACAAAAAAATGGAACAAGCTGAAAAGTGAGATAAGCATGGAGCAATGCGTCCTTGTAATTGCACGAATCTCTCTCTATGCTGCAATTCCATGCGTGCAATTCCAGAAAGACGAACACATTCATAAAATAACGTACGAAAATTAGAGACATTGTATTGTGATGTAAGTAAAGTAAGCGGGCTTGGGCAGGACACGTCGCTCAAAGAGATGATGGCTGGTGGCGAACGACGAAGTGACAGCCAAAAGAGGAAACACACCTCAGATGACATCCACCGAGGAGATGGAGTGACGAGATCAGTTCATGTGCAGGTGCTAGATGGATTGTTAAAGCGTAAGAACCGTGGGAGACGGTGATGGCATGGGGAGGCCTTCATCCAAAAGTGGTTAGATTATAGTGAATGATAATAATAATTAAAAGGTCATAATGAAAGCCCTTTCAGGCATTATCCTGGTGGACAACTTGGTATCCACTACTGAATCGATAGTAATTACTTTAAACAAATATTAATTGTATTTAGGCAGTAAGATAAAATAATTATTTCATTAATTTATTTTCTTTCTACGTGACTTTACCCAAAGAACCAAAGAGTGATTCCTGCAGTCACGAAAGCTTCAAATCAAGTTTGCAGTATGATTATTTACATTCACGTGAGAAATCGTGACTCAAAAAACATGTCACAGAGAAAACACGTGCAAAAAATATTATTGCAGTTAATAACAAATGACATTACAGTAAACAAAAAATACTCTTTGGTTCTTTCGGCAAAGTCACGTAGGTATAAAATAAAATAAATCACGACGTTTCGATCGCAACACAAGCGGTCGTCCTCAGGCGGAAAAAATATAATCCAGCAGTTCCACTGGCGGAAAAAATATATATTGGAACTGCTGGATTATGTTTGGAACTGCTGGATTATATTTTTTCCGCCTGAGGACGACCGCTTGTGTTGCGATCGAAACGTCGTGATTTATTTTACTTTACACCCACGTGACTTTACCGAAAGAACCAAAGAGTATGGATTCCTGCAGTCACGAAAGCTTCAAATCAAAACAAAAATAATTTCACATAGGCAATTAACATAGACAAAGAAATCCACAAAAGCAGCGCATATATGTTCACAATGCAAAGGGTTGACTCTAAAGTGTGTTTGTTGCTGAATTTCAAATTGTGCTGCTTCATAGATCATGAAATATATTTCACTCCGTCGTTCCAGGCAAAAACAAAAAAACTGTCCGACCAGGGGATGAGAACGATTATAAATAAAAAATCAAGGATTTTCTTGCTTGTGTTTCAAGGATACTGCAGTGGCACAGTAGTGCTCACACATTCCCTCTTTCATTACCTTTACAGACAGCCTGTCACTCATGTCTCTATCATGCTATCATCGTGTGTGCTTGCTCTCTCTTTGTTTTATCCCGGTTCGATCTTTCTTTTTTGCTTCTTCCACCCTCACTCGTTGTCACCGGCGGTGTCAATCGATGGGTGTGGTGGTGTAACCACTCACCTGGTGAGTGGTTACACCACCACACCACTCACCTGGTGAGTGGTTACACCTGGTGAGTGGTTACACCTGTTCACCCTTAACCCTATCTGAAATTCCATAGCGACCTTAAAAGAAGTTCAGGTAGCGAATGATGAACAACATTGCTGTAGCAGTTTCACAGTGTGATGATCACTGGCAGTCAGAGGCAGGTATTTCATAAAATTTGTTTGACATTTGCCCCACTAATTATGTATTATATATTTAAATATAATCATATAATATTAATCATGGTCGGTGTGGATTATTAATGGGTGGTCCCAGAATTAGTCGCACTCGCCACTCACCGCTCATTTTATCCATGGCCTGGAATCAAATTCGGATCACCAGGTTCAAGTTCCAAAGTAGTAACTACTGTACTGCAAAACCACTCCACCTATATATGTAATTCATTATTCCATAATTTCTATCAATAACCAACTTTAATCGAAGTGGTTTTTGCTATGCATGGTTTTGAGTAACAACAAAAAAGCGTATTATTTTTGCTTGCAGAAGTCTTGGAGATTAAAGTTGTTTAGTATTTTGATTCATGAACAATGATTGGTTCTGGGGAAGCTTTAAAAAAGAACATATTGACAAGCTACCACAGGAAATGTATTCTGCTATGAGACTGCTACATCACTGCAGAATTAAAGATGTGTGGCAGAGCAGTTGTGCAGTGATCCATGCACTGTGCTATGAACCCAGCAAACCGAGTTGAATTCCCAGCTTTGGCTATCATCAGCAGATATCTGAAACTGGTCCTAGCTGCACCCTTCACCAATCTGGACAGAACGTCAGAGTGAACTATGGTCAAAGCAAACCGAATGACAGACAATGTGCAAGGAGGACTTTATCCAGCATTGGATGGGCAGATGGTTGCAAATTATTAATCATGAACGTGCAATTCTCTAGGCTCACTGTTTAGGTCATAACCATGAATCTGGGTCAGAAAGATTGGTGACTCAGTCATGTAACTGGAAGGCAAATACAAATAGTTGACAGATGTTCCTTTGGAATAATTATCATGCTAGAATTTTAGTGGTATTATAGAATGCTGATAGTGAAATTTGAGTCTCTGTGAGCACAGTTCACTGGTCAGCCTTTGTTCGGGAAAATATTTGAGGGCATCCATATTATTTGTAAGCGATCAAGTTGGGATCTTGCCTGCTGTCGAATCCATGAAACACATATGCGTGATGTAATTAAAACTTCTGGGAGGATATATTATAATGGTAGAAATAGCTAATGTGGTCCAGATGATCTTGCGCATTGTATTGAATGAAAATAAAAAGTTTGCTGAGAAAAGCAAGGCCACTCTCAAGAATGCCAATCCCCATGGCTGGTTCCCAGCCCAGTGATAATTATTTAACGATTGACACTTCAGGCTATGCTAGAAAACTCACTCTCAGGCCATATGGAAACATCCATTGCTCATTAAATCCAAATACAACATTGCATTTTACAAATAAATAACAATACAGCCAACACAAATCATACAGGTGTCAAACATTCAGATTTTAAGAATTACACCTTTCATTATTGTTCATTTACCCATATTGATCCACATCTGCATAGTCAATGCAGTTCATTTGACTACTATGTCACGCGAACATAGTACAGCAGAATACATGGGAGTGCCACAATGTAACAGACGTGATATAAATTAAATTTTGGATATCCATGAAAACAGCAGAGACACCACTGCACTGCTGAGAACAAATTTACTTGTTCCCAAATGTGTTAAATATGATTAAAAGGCTAGAGGGTGATGAGAAAATAGAAATGTTGCCTTGCTATTAAAATAATGGTTTGTGTCACGACCAGCCATGTAAAAATAGTATTGGTGTTTGTGCTCATCAACATAAGTAAAGTGGACATTTAATTCAGAAGAATTACACAGTACATATTACGAGCACAAGAGACTGCCTACTAGATGATTTATTTAGAGCAACTCTAACATCCTTCGTTGTCTCAAAAATAAAAAAAACTCGCCTTTTGCCCGTCCCAGGACGGGTGTATTACAATAAATCTGAAACTTGCAAGCGAAAATCAGACCGCGACGTGATATTCATTGCATCAATGCGTGTGCAATTTGTAAGGCCGCAGTGACAAAGACCTATTTCATTTAAAGGTTATAATCCCTTGTTCATCATGACGTCCTTTTTACTTTGATGTCTCAATAGCGTAATGGAGATCACGTGACGTGAGGGTTCTGCCTTTGTAGTGACGGTTGTCAGTTGACGCCCGAGGAGGGGTTGGGGGGGAGGCGCCTCGCCCCCCCACAACCCATGTGGAGTGACGTCACCCGCTAATTATTATTAATGGTGGGGGGTGTCCATTTGGAGGACCTCACCTGTTCATGATTATTAATGAGGGGGGCTGGTCGATGTGGAGTGACGTCACCTGCTCATGATTATTAATTAGGGGGCTGGTCGATGTGGAGTGACGTCACGTGCGGGACTCACAGACATTATTGGCTCATTATAGTAGTAAATAAACACGCTTATAAATGAATTACATAAAAGTAACTCATGGTTATCCTCATCACATTAAACTGATTCCAGGCTGAAACTTCCATCCTTTCCTATGAACAATGAGATTGTTGTTTTGAATGCATTATTTAATACATTATTTCATACATTATTTTGTAATACATTATTTTCATTGACCAGGTGGAAGCAGGGCTTCAGCTCGCCATACGCAAGCTTGAGCCCTTCATAATCGAGAGACATTTTGCAAATCGTGCTGAATCCTCAGGGGCCGCTGTGTGTGTGTGTGCTGTGTGTCTGTGTGCTGTGTGTGTGTGTGTTGATGCTCTCCAGGTGTTTCCAGGCAATGAGAACTCCGACGAGGTGGTGCACCACGAGCTGAATCCTCAGGGGCCGCTGTGTGTGTGTGTGCTGTGTGTGTGTGCTGTGTGTGTGTGTTGATGCTCTCCAGGTGTTTCCAGGCAATGAGAACTCCGACGAGGTGGTGCACCACGAGCTGAATCCTCAGGGGCCGCTGTGTGCTGTGTGTGTGCTGTGTGTGTGTTGATGCTCTCCAGGTGTTTCCAGGCAATGAGAACTCCGACGAGGTGGTGCACCACGAGCTGAATCCTCAGGGGCCGCTGTGTGTGTGTGTTGTGTGTGTGTGCTGTGTGTGTGTGTTGATGCTCTCCAGGTGTTTCCAGGCAATGAGAACTCCGACGAGGTGGTGCACCACGAGCTGAATCCTCAGGGGCCGCTGTGTGTGTGTGTTGTGTGTGTGCTGTGTGTGTGTGTTGATGCTCTCCAGGTGTTTCCAGGCAATGAGAACTCCGACGAGGTGGTGCGCCACGAGCTCCAGCACCCGATCGTCGCACGCTACCTTCGCTATGTTCCCCTGGACTGGAATGCTTACCGCTGGGTGGGCCTGCGCGTGGAGGTCTACGGCTGTCCCTACAGTGGGTTACGCTCAGTCTCTTCATGACGCTACCTTTTTGCAATTTAGTTTTGGTCCATTTGCCGCGGTGTAATGGTTGGCACGCTGGACTTGCAATCCAGAAGGTTGGCCGGTTTGATCTCCCGGAGTGGTAATTGAATCTCTCTAACCCACCCCGCCACTGCTTTTGTCCACCCAGCGATATATAATGGGTGACACCACAGTTGGTTGATCGTTAGGTTACGTGTGGTGGGGTAAAATGTGGGTGGAAGAGGAGGTTAAATGCCCTCCAGGGGGGAATCTAGAACTCCCTGAAGTGGAGACTCTTCCACCAACCATAAGCAACAAATTACAGGGCAGCACCGTTACCTCTATTTTACCTGTCTCTCTCTCTCACGCCGCTATGTTCACATTGGCCTTTAAACTACAGTCAGTGCCAACAATATCATGGGATTTAAGTTTTTTTTTTCCCTGCAGGGCAGGGAGAGTAGGGATGCGAGGCCAGGTATGGGGTGGTAAATGGCAGATGGAATAGTGGTTGGGATCTACAAGCGGCAGGTGGGGGTGGGGCACAGCGGTGTGAATGGTTTTTGTAATGCAAAAAAAATCACTCTCAGCAGGCTTCAGTTACACACAAAAAATTCTAACGGGGCTGTTTCAACAAACGCACCTCACAAAATTACGTGGAATTTTCAGGCTAAATCAGTTCTTATTGATTTATATCAGTTTGATCGTGAGTTTAGTCTGTGAAATTGTTTTCTGCGCTCAGGGCAGCCCAACGCGCCAATAAGGATGAGAAGCTTCTTACTTGGATCAGTGATCCTCACCGGAGGCCTCAGGGACCACTGTCCACTTCCTCATTTACATATGTGCCAGTGCACAGACATAAGCAGTGCACCCACCTTGTTTACACATAAAGGGACGCCTGGTTTGCATATGAATAAAGCAGATTGTAAGTCACGGAATCGTGGGCTGTTAGCGTCTGAAACTAGGACTGAAACCCATTACCTTGTGTGATTGCAATGTCTCTTTTTTAGGGCTTACCTGCCAGAGGGATAAATTTGTTTCCTACTTTATGTAGGCTTTGCTCAACACTGCATCTGAATAATTACTGCAAACTAAAATCACACAAGGGGCACGCATATTTCAGATTATATTGCCCGAATTTAGTTGCTGCACTTCAGGTGCTATTAAGGTGCTGCTGAATTGATTATGAGTTTATTGATGTTCTGTGTTAATATAATAGTTAATCATTACTGTTGGAGTACGATGATGATTTTTTTTACATTTACAGATGCAGGAATCTCGGCCAACGTGTTCTTGAAATGTGTCTCTGCTCGGCACACTGTCTTCCCGTTCCATGATTGTTTAGAGTATAATAACTGTCTTTAAACCTGCAGAGATATTCAAAAATAATGGGCCAGGTCTCTAAGTGCTCCAGTATTGCCTTTTTTTCTCGAGTAAGTTCCTGTGAATTACTGCTTCCCGGAGAAATGCAGAACAGTGGCATGGTGTCTCATTGTAATGTGAACATTTTGCTCGGGAGTGCAAGGCACATCACCCGAAGGCCACTGCTGAAAATGTGTACACTCGCCACTTTCTGCAGCTACACTGCTGAGGGTAGAAGCTTTTTTAAAGTATTTAAATCCCCTTAAAGGTAATTGTACAAAACTGCAACGCAAATCAACTGTTTAGTTTTTAATGCGCCCTATTTATGAATACAATCGCTGTAATATATTGCAACATCAGCTTTGATTTAGCACACTACGAATAAGACGTACATACTGTAAAACTGTTTTGTTGACATGTAATTTTTTTGCTCCAGTTGGCAGTCATAACTGAGCAGGCTTGCCACCACTTATAATCATTGTGTCATTTACATACTTGTATCTGTTTGCAATATTTAGCCTAATGTACTGTTATTGTATTGCATCACTTAATTTTCATCAGGCTGTTTGAAGAGCGGTAATGTTGGCTTAAAGCAATGTGGGTTACCACGGCATTCTGAAAATGACACGTTAAGTAGAGGTTGTGTAAACTGGTAATCCATTTCAAATACAATAGACAAATTGCCTTACAAAATAAACTAACTCTCTCAAGCTGAAATAACCAAATAATTGCATTCTATTATGGGTCACTTCCCTGATATCCCCTACACCTCTACAAGTATATAATTACTTCCAATATCTCCATCAAAATATAATCGCATTCATGGCCATAGCACATTTAAATTTAACAGTGAGTTTTATTGCACGCACAAGTTATTTTAGAGTGTCTTCATTCAATTACATTTATATGCTCTATAAATCCAAATTGCCATTTAAGCAAATTATTATTGTAACCAACATATCACATTTAGAAGGAAAGCATATACTGTATATATTCTGATATTCAGTGTGCAGTATAACATCATTTAAAAAATGATCAAATATATGCTGAATCTCAAAAAAGTTAAAATTTTAATATATTAAGTGAAAACTAGACATATCTGCCCATTAACACAAAATACTGGCCCACTGATAAATCATTGAACATTTCCGACTGGGTTAGAGGTTATGGCTTAAGGGCTTCATGCACGATAGCGCATTTGCTGTTTAATGGTGGCACAGGCTATTCATGAAAGGCCACACTCTGGCACATTCCTGCCCCGATATCGACGTGCAATCATTGTGCAAAGTGCGTGTCAGGATTTTTCCGAGTGCCATTATTTTGAATTACGGCACCGGCGAGACCGACACTTTCGGTCGCGTCAATCGTAAGGGAAGTGGCCTTGACGCCTCTGCCGGTATTGCCACACCACCACCACCACCACCGTGTCCAGAGTCGGAGGCCGTGTTCTTCGACGGGCGGAGCCTTCTGGCGTACCGCTTCGAGCAAAAAACGAGGCGGACGCGCAAGGATGTGGTGTCGCTGCGGTTCCGCTCTGCGCTCAGCGAGGGTGTGCTGCTGCACGGCGAGGGCCAGCGCGGAGACACCCTCACCCTGGAGCTCCAACGTGGATGTCTGCACCTGCTCATCAGCCTTGGTGGAGTCTCCTATCCTAATCGCCTAGCCACCCCCCCACCCTGACTCGTTCCCCCCAGACCCCATCCACACCCAATCAGGATGGCCTAAGGCTCAGGCTTCCTCGAAATTGACACCATTGCTAATCAGATGGACTCATTTGAAACTTGTAGGGTCGATGTGGATTAATGTTTGTTGATTTTTGTTCCCGGTCTTCTTGGAAATTTGGGCCTTTGAGCCTGTGCTGAGCAACTGTTAGGTTTAAAAAAAATAATGTGTTAGACGGGTGGAATTATCAGCTCTTGCTGTTGAACAGTTCTCTAATGCATTCAGAAGTCATAGAATAATTGTTTTTTGTACAGTTTATTACAAAAAAAAAGAACTGAAATTGAAAGTCTCACTCAAGCAATATTCCACCAAGGTGCCCCTCACAACATTTTAATTGAAGAGCCCCAAGATATATTTTGGAGTTGCCTTAGTTAAACTTCTACCCTTACCTCCCCCTTCACACCGTCTGCATTTATTGCATTGAAGATGATGTGAGGAGTCAGGAAAGCTTAAAATAATCCTCAGTAGCACGTACAGACTCGCACCCTCATCATTTTACATATCTGAGAACAATATTCCTGATACCGAAGGGTACACCCACATCGACTTGTTAGCACCTCCAAAGAATTCCCTGTTCGCCTGCCAATTATATGTGATGGAGGAGGAAGTAATGTATAAGGTGAAGACTGGTGCCGGGAGGTCGAAGATGATGGCCTCTGTAGTGTACAGCGAATTGTTTCGTATTCTTGCACTTGCCTTAAAACAAATCATCACCATAACTTTTTTTCTGGCTGCATTTGTGCCATCAAATTCTTACCTTCCCCATTACCTGACCCTACTATCCACCACGTGCCCTCTAATCCATCAACCAAGGCCTCCTGTCAAAGCCTCCCTCAACGAGGGGTCACTCTGTTCTCTGATGCTGCTCTTAAGGTCTGGAGCTGTATTTCAAGTAGAGGCTTTAGACTTCTCGCCCGCCATCAGAAAGGTTGGGGACCCGCTTTTAGATATCAGGCCATACACGCTGAGAACTATTGAGCGCTGAGCCACAGATAATCATAAATAACAATCTCCTGTTCGTTCTTCCGTGGCGATGGCATCGCTCGTGGCGTGAAACAGGTCAGGAGCCGACGGGACCTGGTGGGGGTGGCCCTGGCGAGGTGGCGTATACTTCTGCAAGCGCTGGCAGCCTCCTCGACGACCAGCACTGGCACGACGTGATGCTTGTCCGCAGCGGTCGCCATGGCAACCTGACGGTGGACCGCCACACACAGCGCTTCCACGTGAAGGGAGACGATGATTCTCTAGACCTCGACTACCAGGTGCGTTGGCCTTGCGCGAAAATGCGGATGTCTCTGAGAACCGACCCGATGGATTATGCACACATTTGTCAATAATATTCTGATGAATACCTAACAAATGGTAAATTAGAAGCCGCATATTGATGATAAATGTGTGTTCTTCAATTGCTGATTTTTCTCTAAACGGATACTTAAAAAAACACATTGAACCTGAATGCTGTATAGAGGCTTTGACTGAATTGGTCATGGAATTATTTGTTGTTCTTAATTGAGAGGATTATATATATTATGTTTTTATTGCAGATTATATATCGTTTAATTTATATCTTATTAATGCCGTCTTCTAACATTGATAAAGTCATTGGAGATACATTGCAAGGGAAGGAAATGAGTCATAACTTAATAACAAGCTACACTTGTGGCAGCCACATAAGCACGTCTCCTTTACTGATAGGAATTTGCCCGATTCTTGTTGTAAAGTGAACCACTGCACACTGACTCCGAGTCTAAGTGAAATGCCTGTGGCTTATATGGAGTTAGAGGCAGGTAATTATAGCAACACAGAAAAAAAGTATATTCGACATAGGATGAAGGGCTTTTGCAAGCAAAGTAAAATCTAAAGTTTATGTTTGCTGATGTCAAATACTTCATTTGGTTGTATGTTTGGCAGACTATAATTTTTTACCATTGCATGTTTTTTTTTAATGAGTATTCGAGTCTCATTTAAAGTTTTGGGTATTGAAGCAATAACATTTTTGTGTGTATGGTGTATTGTATTTTTTAAATATTTGCTTCAGAAAGCTATTCTCATGTATGCATATAAAACATACCCAATTGAATGACTATTGTGCTTTTCCGTGCATTCTGCTGATACCCAGAAAGCACGGTGCCGTGCCATTTTTATTTAATGTAAGGCAACTGATACAGTAACATTGGCACCTCTTGCAGGGGACATGACCCCGTGTCTGAGAAAAGACAGATCGATGCTCGTGGGCCCACATTGGCAGCAGCCGCTCAGCTGGTGACGCACGGTCCGACTCAACCGTAACACAAGCAGACGACTTTGCCGATCACTCGCCCTAGTTTTCATTTTGTCCTTTCACGCGGATGATATTGATTGAAGGCCAGGGTGAGATTCGGGGTGAAATCTGGGCTTAGTCCATGTGAGTGAGGGCATGGGGTGTATGAATGGGTACTTGTGTTTACATTTGCATTGAATTACACGTCTTTAAGTGCGTTATTGCATGCAATTGTTATTGAATATGATTACAGACAATTTGTTTTAAATGTAATAATCGTGTTTCTTATCATGTTCCTATACCATTTCCCCGACCTCATAAAATGTGTCCTAAAACCACAACATGCCAGTAATTTTGACCATTCAATAACATAAGTAACTTGTACAATTTCTTGATATTCCTCAAATCTTTAAAGTCGATTTCACAGTACAATGTTTAACAATGAAGACTATCATATATATGCTGCGTATACATGATTTTTTTAGGAATCGAACACAAATCATATATTATTGTTTGCATGATTAATTTACATATTCCTGAAATACACTTGTACTGGTCAGTTTCTGCTACAAGGAATCATTTCAATGTTTATGAAATTATTTCCACCTGATTGCACATCCACCCATGATGTAAATATTAAGATGGATTTGAGCACATTCAATTGTGAGTGTAATCCATATCTGCCATGATGGAGGATTTATTAAATCAATCCCAGAATTACATAAATGTGATCGTGCCGATATAATACATAATTCATAATGTTGTCCCTGCAGAGATGTATGCTTTTGCTTCTCTTGGTTTTACATGATTAACAGGAGCCGGTTAGCAAGAAGGGTGTTATCTAACACATTCCCAGACAACTTCTGCTCCACTCCCCTGTCACTGTCATGTACTCTCCTTCACACGTACACTCGCCACCATCCCTCCGAGGCTGCTGAAACACCATGCAGGGGAAACATGCGTACATGGAAGGCCTGCAATAGGCTTGGCACGTGCACAACTTGAGAAGACAACTCCGCTGCAGCCCTCAACTCTGTCTGTTGCTGCTCTACATTAACGCAATCACATCCAGTAATGAAAATCATTAAAGCGCCACTATTGAACGCAACATAAGGGTACGGCTAATTGAAAAAAAAAAAACTTGTTGGAAGGGAGAGCTTAGTGCACACAATATATCGACGAGTGCACAAAAGCCCAACATATGGCTTTGAAGTAGTTTAAAATAAATTGCAAACTTACAAAGGACTTCCGTTAATCTTAATTAAAGCAGATGGTTGTTTTGTTTTAGAAAACTAATGCTGTGGTCAAAATCTAAGAGAGTTCAATAGTAACTCCACCAGTTAGAATTTCAAAGGCTGCCTTACTCGGGTCATAGTTCAGCTCTGCCGCATTCCCAATAAAGAATAATAATTAGATGGAACTGAGCTCCTCAGGCAGGATACTGATATCCTGCTTAGCTCAGACCCTACAAATAACCACCACGTGCAAGCATATTGCAGACTTATACCAATTAAATCATCATATTACACACAAACGGAATTTTATTTGTATTATTTTTATATGCTTATTAGTTTCGTTTGAAAACATTTTGCTGCCAACCCTTTTTTTTTGCTCCTAAACAAATTTGCTTTCAAGTCTCCTCGGCCACACAGAGGTTATGTTGATAATTTATTGGAACTTAAGTCATGTAATTATACTAAATTACTGTGAAAAAAAACGCTGGCAAGAAGATTTGGTTTTGGTTGAGAGGATGCGTAATTGGTTTATCGCGCTGGGCACAGTGCTGCTGGAGGTGCCTCCTTGGCTGTGTGGATTATGCGCCAGGGATGTGATCGTTTTGCGAATTTCTCACCCTGCCGTGCGATGCCCTCCACTACTCGGGTCTACTGGCTCCACTGCCCCCGGCGACTGACACTCACACGTGTTTGAACGCGTAGGCTTTCGTGATCAACGTTACGATTCACAGTTGATTTTTTTTTAGGTCAGATCGCCACGTGAGAAATATGCCAACGCGTATTGTACACCCTCTTCCACGCGACACAGCCGAATAAATAGAGCTGTAACGTGGTGAAACGAACACACTCACTATTTGTATTGCTTCAGCACACACCGATGTGCTGAAGAAGCGATTCACAACATCTAGCAATTAGGTAGGACGTTTCGCTAGTTGTTACATTCAGCATCGTCAGGCGATTTCCAGAGTTCAACTCCTACTGTTGAACTCTCATAGCAGGAGTTGAACTGGGTGTACTAAAAATAAAGAAAATGTAACACTGTTGTTTCAAGATATTACTTTGTGAATGCTTCAAATACAACAAAATTTTTTACCATGGGAATACATGTCAAGGTAATTTATATAAATAATGTCCAATCCTGTTCATTCATCTTATAAGCCCTGGTGTAATCACTTGTTTTTTTCTTTATCACTGTTAATTTGGCATTGTTGGAAGATTTCATATACATTATTCTCGTTTTTGTTTGACATCTTACCTCATGGTTTATTGAAAAACAAAATACCATTATTACTTCAGCACTGCAACCAGATTGCATCTACAAGTACTGCATGAATAGAAAGGCATTGGCAAATGTCACCAGGTTAAGTGGCCACAGTGAAAGGTTGAAAGGACAAGACCTTAACTTTCATAGGAGTGGTCAACGGAACCGAGTAGGGTCAGACAGTCGGTCAAGGCTCTTATTGACTGCATTTTTGTGGCTTCATTGGCATTTATTTGTTGTTTGCAGGAAACCTAGCTGACCTTGGTGACTTCACTAAATCCCAACAGTTCAATACGAAGCCTGTCCAGCCTCGTTCTAAATTAAATGCCCCCTATTATATTTAAGTGGTCACTTGACGTGCTTGTAAAAAGACAGTTAAAGTAAGTGGCTTTATTAAATGATAAGTGAAAGAAAAATTACTGGAATTAATTACAGTACGGTAATGTAAAGTTCAGATATCACACACCACTGACGTTAGCCGTGGCTTATGGGATTTAAATTTTCTGACTGCTCTGACTCCCTTGAAATTATTTTGATTCCCGGCCTCGTCTCACATCAGTAGCAAGAGATATCTGAATCAAGTTTGACCATCGTGATGCAGTACGGTCAAACACTGATCATGCCTGGTGTGGGGTGGGAATACATAAATTAGAGAATTGAAGGTAAAGATATCACATTGACTCTTAGGAAAATAAATGGGATTGGGAAAGGACACGTCGCTAGAAGGGACGGCGTCTGGTGGTCGAGAATAACGACAGTGTGACAGCCAAACAAGAGAAATCGCCCGAAAGCATGCCTACTAAGGAGATGGAGCAATGAAATGAGATGATGTGTAGCATATTGATGATCTGTTGCATTACAAATCCATGAGAGACGGTGACAGCTTGGGGTGACCTTCATCCAGCAGTGGATTTGATCATGGTTAATGATGGCTACTATTTCTCTCGATTTTTTGTTTTCTCAGCTCATGTTTGGTGGGCTTCCGTTTGGAGGCAAGGCGGGAAGTGTGGGGCGGCCCAACTTCCTGGGTTGCCTGGAGAATGTGTACTACAGCGGAGAGTATGTGACAGACCTCGCCCAGCGGATCAAGCCTCAGATCCACATGTCTGTGAGTTGGGGTGCTTTACGGGAAGGACACGGAGATGAGAACGGCCCTGGAAATTAAGGGCTCGGTGATGGGGAGGAGATAGTGTGGTGAGGCATGCCTCGGAATATATTCTGCTCATGTATACTGACGACTGTAATTATGTTTAAAATTGGTGTGACCAAAATTATCTTTGGAAATATATTGACTTTATGTATAGTGTAAAATAGGTAAAAGTAAGCATGTAACCCTGCGATTTCTAGCTCACACCACTGCTGGCTGAAAGGCCCCCACTCTAGAGAGTTCTAAAAAGCCACTCTGGAGGATATTTTGCATACCCTGGCCAGATATCTTAAAAGAGGTGGGATTTTACACACTTTACCCCACCACAAGCGACCTTCCCATTGACTGTGGTGCAGCCATTTCGACTGCTGGGTGGACAGAGGCGGGACGCTTAATAAACTTTCCCATCGTTTTAACTTCTGTGCTGGGAGACCGAACCGGTGACCTCAAGAATGCAAATCCAGAGTGCTGACCATGACACCACGGCAGCATCCCCCTTCATCATGTCAGTGATAAAATTGGGTAATATAAAGTCAGAAAATATTAACCCCACAGTACTAATTCCCTCTTCGCTTATCATTTGATATTGCCAGTACATGATCATTTAATCAGTGCGAAACATAATAAATTGCACAATACCTGTAATATTATATTCTTGGTTCTTTCGGTAAAGTCACGTAGAAGGGAAACAATTAAATAATAAAAATATAAAACAATTTGTATTGTTTCCCTTCTACGTGACTTTACCGAAAGAATCAAGAATATGAAACCCTGCAGTCACGGAAGCTTTAAATCAAAATACCTGTAATGTTAGACGATACGGGGCAAGACTGCCCCCTAAGACTATCGATACAATTCTCTCTTCAAGCATTTACGCCAGAGATAGCTACATCTAATATAAAATATTCAAATTAGCTGACCAATGTATCTCCTTGTCCTGGGGCGCTCGCCAGGGCAACGTGACGTTTGGGTGTCCACGTGGCGTCCCCGCGATCCCTGTCACCTTCCCCGGGCCGGATGGCCACCTCGCCCTGACGGGTCGTGTTGGGCGCGCTGCCCTGGCTGTCGCGATGGAGTTCCGTACGTGGGACCCCGCGGGCCTCCTCCTGCTCACCGCCCTGTCACGGGGCCTGGGGGAGCTGCGTCTCACTTTGAGGGAAGGAAAACTGAACCTGGCTCTCATTCGCCCCGGTAGCAGCGACATCCATCTGTCTTCTGGTAAGCAGGTCCGCGATGCCCGTGAAAGCTGTCCGAGTGAGTAGATGGAGCGTTATGCAGAGTGCTTTGTTTGAGGTGCAGAGCAGCAAACCGGGATATAATTTTCATGTTATATTGAGAGCCCGTCAAAACCATGTTTTTTTAAACACCCTATTCAGTGGAATTGTATTGTTGTTGCCAATTATATGCAATGGAAAATGTTCAAGCCAACTTTACTATTGAATGGCCCTGGTATAAATATGCAAATTGCCCCGACTGCTGATCAAATTCCAGTCCCTCCCCAGAAGGTCTGCACAGGTGCACTCCACACCCATGGCTAATGCCTCCCGTGAGGGACCATTCTCCACAAATCAGAGCTACAGTTAGAACCGGAATGGAATGCTTGAAAGTGAGAAGGTAATACTCGATCTTGAGAACAATTATATTCGTAGAATTATTCTCACTGACAAATATTTGTGATGTATTTATTTTATACCGATTCAGGAGTGCATTGTAAAACATCACCATTAGGTGCTTAGCGAACATTTGCGTTTTTTGTTTGTTTTACTTTTTAGTCGGCTCATTTTGACGTCACGTAAAAAAAAGAACGTGCAAGTGAAATAAGGCAACCATCTAGTTGTTGATGCAAGCGGTTTCTCATTAAGTCACATGTTCCCATTAAGTGTGTGCTCATGGTTTCTGCGTAACACTCTTCTGTTATAATGCTAATGCAAAACCGCTCGTGCGTGAGGCCCAGGAGACCCTCGCTGGCTCACCTTCCCACCCACCACCACCACCAGCACACCACCACCCACCCACCCAGCGGCCCTCAATGCAGCACCGATACATTATTTATGCCCTCACTACCCGTGAAACCAGCCGCACAGGCGTGCGCACTACGTAGGGCGTGCGCTTTGCACAAGCGGTGTTAGGGACTGCAGCAGCGGCAGCATTTGAGCAGCGGGGGGTTTTGGAGGGGGGGGGGGAAAGTGGCGATGGGAGTTTAGAGGGGGTGGGGGGGGGGCTTGTGTACGGTTTTGCTGCGCCATGGTGGCTGTTTGCCGACGTGGTCACCCACCAGGCCATCCCCCGCCGTCGTGGTTTGCGGAGGACGAGACGCTCGCGTTGTGCGGCGAGCGCGGCGCAGCATGGCACGCGTACCACATCGATCCATCATTGAACGGGGCTCCGTTGCGGTCACTTGGGCCCATCAGGGTGGATGGACGTACATACACTGTGCTGCTCAAATCCACACGTGCTTGCACAATGAGACATAAAGACCACCCCCCCCCCCCCAGATAGCCATACGGTTTGCTGGGGCAAATGCTTTTCGCGAGCACCCATTCAGGCGAGTACGGCACACGAGGGGGTGGGTGGCTAGCACTGGCTTGGCTGCCTTTGTCTCCCTTGTGGTGTTGTTTACACACCACAGCAGGTACTCATTTGAGTCAAGGTCAACCTCGGGGAGGCCCAGGACCACTTCAGATAATTGTGAATGCTTTTTGCTGTTACCGGCATTCGAACTCAGGTGGCCGTGTTCATAGCGCGCTGTGCTCCCCGCTACACTACCGCTCCCCACACAAAAGACACCTGGTATAGCGTGTACCGACCGTTTGAACAAGTGATGTTTGCGAGCTCCTCCCCACACACACACATATATCCACATGCACATAAACTATATTCACATGCAAATACCCTGCCTCCAAAATACAATCACAGCACCACAATTTTTTTTACAAAAGTTACGATCTCCCAAAATAATGGTATTATCAATAGCCAGGGTGCCTGATTGTTTATGTCACCCATGTATATATGTGGCTACCTTGAGTTCAATTAACAACTCAAAAAAAGAGTAGTAAGCAGTAGATTTTGTCGGGCAAGTCAATTTTGTTTATTGATTAATTTCCAGAGCGGCAGTGGACTCGCACGTGATTACAGATTAAGGGCAGTCAATTAAAGTAATGTCATTAGAAACCTCGTTGCGAAAGAACACACAAAGCTCTTTGTTATTCTACATCAGCACAAAACAGGGTCACATCACCGGCGCAGATAATATCGCTGCTGCACAACCAGCGCCAAAAAAACGCGATGCGTTATTGTTGCTGCGCCAGGCCCATACATAAATGGACTTTTATCACAACATTAAAATTCCTTTGCATCCATGTGGAATGTGCAATTCAAAACATGTACGGCAATACAGTACACATTTGTACACGTGAACACCCAATCAAGATGATATTGTGTATATAATGCTGAGCAAACAAAAGTAACGTGAATGTTGTTTAAAAAAATATATATATGCAGATGCTTTGCATTATCTCAAAAGAAAAAAAAAACATATACATTGTTATCAAGTGATTTCATAATGGTGTCCAGTATATAAAATCAGGCACATAACCTCCATTCGTTTGAAATACTGTATGCTGGCCATAACGATATTCATGTATAGTTCTGAAATGGGCTATAAATATATTATTAAGAGCGCGTTTACGTCTTTAAATGAATAAGTGCTACTCGGTTAACAAAGACTTTATTTTTATTTTTATGCGCGTGTGGTCCCACTTTCAAAGCGGGATAGAAAAAGTTGAGACTGATTAGGACGCGTGTTTAAATTACCCCCTGTGATTCTCTGGGCGTGAAACATTGTCTTTCAATTAAAGTGAAGTTCAAGAGATTTTTTTTATGAAAGAGGTCGACTGTTGAAGCATGTTCGGGTGGTAACTTAATTTTCATACTCCTTATTACGATGATATATGCGGCGCAACGTACTGTACACAAGGCGGATGTTTATGTACGGTACATAACACACACACAGAATTCCATGTATACACACTGTACACTACGTTAGTTTAAATGTAGAATACAATAACAAAAAAAACTCGTGGCCATGATCAATCCACTGCTGGATGATACGTTCTGCAACCCATCCGTCATCTCACAGGGTCTCTCAATCCCAACAATCCTTCCTGCACACGAGCTGATTTCATCGCTCCATCTCTGTGTTGTCCACCCACACATGTATACGGCACCGTGCCCGTTTATGTAAATATATTCGGAAATGTGTGTTCCTGCACTTTCGCTGACCTTCCCCTCCACGCCCGTGCCCACGCGCGCTCAAGGCGTTCTGCTGAACAACGGCGAGTGGCACACGGCGAGTGTGCAGGCGCGGGAGCGCACGCTGACCCTGGTCGTGGACGGTGCCGAGGACACGGCCGTGCGCTCCCTGCTGCCCTTCCACGTCGCCACCGGCAGCATCTACTACTTCGGAGGTGGTCACCTCGGAAAGGGCGCCGCCGACTCCTCGTGTCCGAGAGTCGGGCTCGTTTTCACCGGCATGGAAACCGCCGTTCGTGATTTCCAGGCACCGGCGCGCGCCATGCAGCCTTTGCGAACGAAGAAAGTGTATCGTGCGTCTCAACGGGCCCGTATTTATTTCGCCTGGTTAAAATGATTAAACAAAGGATAATTCAGCTGCTTTCAAGTTTCCTGCACGATAAGGGATCATCATATGTGTCTGCCTTGTTGTAGTCACTTATTCCTGCATACACTGTCAGGTCCAGTTATAGGCAATACGTTCCTCAGGTACCTCGTATCAACATTAGAGTTGTGTGGTGTGTTTTTTACATTGACGAGGTTAGATTAATTTAAGTGCAGACTCGAGGCTGACTTTTAAAAAAAATCTAATTAGCTATGAACAATGGCTCACGTGCATTTTATGAGGAAAGAGATAATTAATGATTATTTTGTTATATAGTACGGTCATTATATGCATGTTTCTTTTTTCAGTAATTTATTGTTATTGCACTTACAGACGTGTGTGGGCATTTGGTTGATTTGTTAAAACACCTCGCATGTGCTTCAAGATGTAACGGCATATTAAGTGCGTTCAAAATATGAAGGGATGATTACGATAATGAAGCCTGGGCCGATACACACACCCACTTATAGGACCTGTGAGAGCTCTGCTATGAAGTCTGTCCAAACGTACTCATACGTTGCTTTCTGGATGAATATTAAGTTTTTGAAAAAAGCCAGGCACTCCAAACCCATTGCAGCTCTGAGCAACCGCAGTGTGAGTGGCAGGGTGCACGCTGCACTGTGTAATAGCGCTTCTGGGTCTCAGGCAGCCGTGCTGAGCTATGCTTGCTTTTAATTAAAGCATGAGGAGTGAGACACATAACGTCAGAATGCCTTTGTGGTATCTTAATTGCTGTGTATTTTATTTACTGTGTTAACAACTAAAGCAAGTTGGAAGGGTTAATTGGCTGTACACTATAAATGCATTACTTTTCATATTGCTTAAATGTGTCCAAAACAAGCACTTTCAAGAGAAATAATAAAAAAAAGAATACAAAAAAAATCATCAGACATGAATTGAATATATTGAGTTTCTTATTTTAATATATCGATGCGAGCCATTTGAATGAAATGAAATGCCATTTTGTTGTCTCTCCCAAGGCTTTCCTCAGAGAGATGCGAACAGGTCGCTTCCCCCATTCCTGGGCTGCATGAGGCTCATCAATATTGATGATCACTTGGTGGACCTCTCCCTCCTGCAGCAAGGCCTCCTGGGAAACTACACAAACCTCATGCTCGACCAGTGTGGCCTCACGGACAGGTGAGGCAACAGCAAGGGTTGCCACCTCTGAGGTACAACAAACTCACAAGAAGAGCATCTCACACTACCAGAAGAGGGATACAAAATGTAATTTACTACTTCTAAACTCATTGTCGTGAGTGGTGTATTATTACGCAACTGGCAAAAACTCAAGACTTTTAATGTTCCGGCAAGATTTCCCAGGACAGCGACCTCAAAAAGACGATTCTGGGAAAACCATGACAGCTGGAAACCTTAGGCACGGCTTACGGTAGAGCCTATGTGAAACGATCAGCGCTCACCACTGGGTGTAAAGTTATGACGACGACCTGAAACAGGTCAAACAGCAAAACATAATTAACGTTCGAGGGAATGGGAATTATTTTGTCATCACATAACGCTGGTGCAGAGTACAGAGTGAGGTGCACCGCAAACACCCAAGTGAGATACATCGACGCATTCCCTCCTGTGGCATGCGAAAGGCTGGCAGTTTTATAGGAAATAGAAAGCATGGCTATGAGCTACATGATTTTAGGAAAGGGGCACTGTACATTGTTGTAACCACACAGGCCCAAGGGAATAGTGAGGAACTATGCTGAGCCTGTGTCTGCTGAAGATATTTATAACCTTTCGGCAGACGGGCAACTCTGTTCTTTTTTTGTGTGTGTAAACGACAACGTAAATCCATAAACCCATCACCGGTCTCACCTTCTGTTTGTCTGCTCGAATATAATTGGAAGCCATGAGCGTGGTGGGTGAGCGGTAGGATTGTTCCAGCAACAGTGCTGGAAAATCCAACAACTAGATCTGAAATAGGAAAAAAAAAACCATCGGACCAAAAATAACTACGTCGCTCCAGGCGGTGCCAAGCCATATTAATGGAGCTGTCTGTTTTGCGGACGTGTGGCTGCGAGCAAAAAGTGGCATTGCTCTCTGAATGACAAAATTAATTGGATAATGGCTACTTACAGTCGGCAGTGGTGAGCGGTGACAGTCTTTGCACCATCTTAACGGCAGCCCCGGACCAGCTGCCTTGCTGCTGATATAACAGGTACTAAAATCCAATTGACGTGCAATAAAATTGATATACGCGTATTGTTCAACAGAGGTGCACAAGGTGTGAACACGCACAGTATATATTTAAATAAGTCCGTGTACGCAGCGCTGTATGATGCTTATACCATTGCAGGAATGTTGTTTAAAATGCAAAAAACCATATGCGATATAGCTATAAGAGTAATGCATACTAAAGTTCAATACCCAACAATATGTATGCCATGCAAGTGCGCTGTTTAGAACTGCATATTATCCAAAAGGAGAAGATAAACGTTGAAGGCGCAGCTCTTTAATGTTTTGCTCACGTCACTGCTGGCAGAAGGGGGCCTCTATTCGGCGTAGCTCTATAAACCTTAATATGGAGACGCTTGGCCTTCGCTTGCACACAGGCAAGACGTCTTCGAAGAGATGCGAATACCGACACTTTACCCCACCATACGCCAGCTGCTGATCTACTTGCTGTGGCGAATCCATTTATATTGCATGTAGGGTGCACAGAGGCAGGGTTTGGCGGAGCAATTGAAGAAACGTGCCCCGTTGTTTCAACCGTCTTGCCACAAAATAAATGGCTCGCTAAAACAACCTGGTGTAACAACTTCACATTTCATGGAGAAAATCGGTAGCAATGAAATCGCGCTGCTGACCGTGCACGTACGTGTGCACGTTGAACTTCTCTCGGCACCGTACGTGGCCAACCGTGCCACGAGCGAACAATCGGAGGTTGACGTTTGGACGCTTTTTTGTTGTTTTTGCCGCTGGCGTCTCGTTTGCAGGTGTCTGCCGAGCCACTGCGAGAACGGTGGGACCTGCTCGCAGACCTGGCGCAGCTTCGAGTGCAACTGCGCGGGCACGGGCTACACGGGCGTCACCTGCCACGCACGTGAGCCGCAAAGCCTTTCCTCTCTTTGTCTCTCGCCTTTGCAAATTCGTGCCCCCACCCCCCACCGGGCGAGCGGGCTCCAGGCGTGTGCCACGTTTAATGAGCGGCGCCGCCGCAACGTTCTATTCGTGGGTCTCATCATATTGTCGAGCGTCGCCACACTGTTCAATCACGATCCCGAGCTGCGGGCCCCGCCTGTCTCAGGTGTGGAAGGGCCCGTTGCTGATTGATCGTTCACCTCTCAACCCTATTGGAAAAAAAAGTGTCCGATGCTAAGGTCACGTTTTTCCTTTACATTTCCAATCTTTGTCCCGCTTTTTCAATTTTATTGGTAACACCGGAATGTCACGTTACATTAATTATTAATCAGAATCAGAATGTAAGGCATCTTGAGGTGTCAGCGAATGTTGTAAAAAGTTTTAATTAATTCAACGTTACTTTCAGGTTTTTTGTTCGTATATAGCAGTGGTAAAATGTCCGTAAGGGTTTTCAAAATAAGCTATATGGGATATTTTTTATGGGATTGGTATATATGTTTTCAAATTGCATAAAATATATCAATGGACTGTTTATTGCATGTTTCGATCAGCCACTGGGCAAAACTAACGCGTATATTTTTTCTGAATATCAGCCATATTACATTTATAGTTTGAATGATGAAGAAAACATTTATATTTTTGTATTGCCCTTTGTTAAACATGGTTTTTAAGTAGGCACTTATTTTTGAAGGTTAATTTTAATATTCACCTAAAATGTGTAGATGATAATAGGCATGCATATCAAGTTTATTTATTATTCCTCAGCTTTAATTAAATGACACCAACATTTTTTTTCCCACTCGTGTGCTCTGAATCATTATTGCTGTAAAAGGCTCACAAAAGCCAAGGCACACAAAGGCACAGGAGCATTCAACTCATCTGCTTTTGATTAAGGAAAGCCATTGATTTGGAGAAAATTACTGCTCACGTTTCTGTGTTGAATCTCAGTGCTTCAAGTGCAGGACACTGGAAGCACGATAACGCTACCCCCACCAACACACACAATCAATGTGAACGAAAATACAGTTTTCACAGGAAATTAACGCTGGAGCAAACGATCTGTTAAAGAAATTAACTCTTCATCTGCCGGAAGGAAAAGGCTGATTAACGGAGTAGTGTGTCTTACCCACAGTTGGAGCAGACAAGTATACTGTTGGTGTGTCGCACACATTTATTTTATTCATAGTTGTCCACAGTTCACATAAGAAAATTAAAGCCGAATCTACCTCAAGGGGTACAGAGCGTTGAATGTTAGGGTGCAGTTGTAGTGTTTTCATTACTTTGTGTGACCAACATTGAGGCCCCTGACAGAAACTCTGGCAAAGCTTCCTGATGAGTTACAAGTACCCAATCTGCAGACGTGACCCCCCCCCCCCCCCGCGGTTGATCTTGCACAAAATTCTGACGTCTTACTTCGATCTGAGCAGGTCATGACCTCAATTCACGTTGTAGAATTACATCTCGGCTCTTATGAGGCATCGTTGCCCCCCCGCCCCCACCGCGAGGCTCTCACAATATACGAGACCTGGACTCACGGTCTTAAGGGTGCTGGCAAAAAGGGGGGCTAAAATGATAACGGCATTAGACCCGGCCGTGTCTCCGTTGATGAAGTGTGAAAACTACGCAGCTGGGGATCGCTGCCTCAAGGGCAAGGCTGCGCTAAATAAGGCAGAGTTTCAACTGCGGCTGACAAAATATTTATGCCGACAGTCTAAATGTACAAAAGTGCCGCCAAGCACAAATAATAGACAATAATATTTTACGGAAAAAAAATATAGTGTAACTGTTGCATAAATTAGCTTATGCGGAACTGCTGCCTAAAAAATGAATGTTTATTTAGTTTTTTGGCGTATGATACTACAATGTTACTGCTAATAATAAAGTATATTTTTGAATATGTTTTGAATATTTTTCTTGGGGGGATGGAATAAATTATACTTGCAATGTAGATAAATAGTACATGCAGCTTTAACATTATTTACATTGCAAATGCAGTATATCCGAGATATTGTTAATTATCATGAAATTGAAGGAGGACATAGCTGAAACTCTGCCACTCTAAAAATCTATATTAAAATGCACATGCCAAAAAGGCTTGACTTATTTCATGATTTAGTTTTCCTCATTAAAAAGTTATTTGCCTGCACAATACGCTCTGGCCAATTTAATTTGAGTGAAATGCTTTACGATTTTATTTATTGAGGAATACCAATTTAAACACATTAGATAAATTATTTTTTTCTTTTCATCTCATTTCCGCTTCATAGACGTAAAGAAAATAATAATAAAAAAATACTTTCGTTTTAATCATTCAGCAGTGTCAATCAATAAGCCAAGCGTGCGAGAACAGCAGCACTTGCATTCTATGTACTACTGGTTATGACACAGCACATGAGTTTAACTATGACTTCCTAGAAGCAATCCAGTGAATGGTTAAGATATTTGCTGTCTCCTCATAGCTGCAAAATGGGCCTCAAAGGAGTAGTTTAACCTTTTTTTCTTGGTTATTCGGTTTTTGTTCTCTTTAGTTAGTTCAGGGCTTTTATCAATGTCTCAGTTCCATACAAATTTTATTTAAATGATGTAAAATACTTCTTATGAAAATGTCTCTTCACTTTAGTATTTTCAGCGTGTTAAAACATTTCACTTATGTCAGTGGACTAATGCAGACCCAAATAGCTTTCTAAAGATTAAGCCAATGTTAAATGAAGTCCTATGAAAAATACTAATGTTGCAGCTCTGTGTATTTGCCTGACAATTAATTCCACACTATTAACATAAATATGTATTTTGCTGATTCGTAGAACAATTACGGGCATGCCATGATGAGAGATCTACAAATTTCTCCCACCGTTACTTAGCAGTGCTGATATAATCAGATGCTTAAAAAACAATGTCAAATCATGTTCTGTTTAATAATCTAATATAAAACGTTATTTTCATAGGTTTTTCACAGTTGCGCTGCATAACTGTCCTATGTGAAACTGAAGCGTTCAGCACGCGGACAGAAATGTGAGGCATCATCCTGAACAATCCAGGATACAAACCGAACACCCATCAGAGAGAAATCATTTCAAAATCTTGTCTCCCCCCCCTCCACTATCCCATCACTTTTTCCCATTTTTGGTTGTGTTGCAATGACAAGCCATCTACGAGTCATCGTGCGAGGCCTACAAGCACCTGGGTCGAGCATCAGGCCGTTACTGGGTTGACCCTGACGGGAGTGGTCCGCTGAGGGCCATGCATGTCTACTGCAATATGACAGGTGGGTGCTGGCAACAGCTTATACTTATTCACGTGGAACTGGGGAAGGAGGATGTGAACCTGCAACATGCCCCCAGGCCCCTGTGCTACATGTCCTGACTGAATGAATGCTGCCCTGTTTCTTAGTAATGAAGCTACAGACACACAGAGAGAGCGAGAACGGAAGAGAGAGAGAGAGAGACCGAGTGCAGGTTAAAGGCAACATCGTTATGCGAGTTTTTTGTTACATTCCAATGCATTTATGAGGCTTTTGAAGTTTTTATGGTGAGCGAGTGAAATGCGGCTTCTTGTAATAGGTGTGTTTTCTCTGCTGGTCATTCACATGGCGAGGTTAGTGTTTGCGGAAGTCGAGGGAAGAAGTGTGCTGGGTGCAAGTGTAATTCTCTCCAGAGGGTGAATCATCATCATCAGCAGCCATGTTCTATACACTACTGGATGAAGAGCTCTCCAAACCGTCGCTACCCCTCACTGTCCTTCAGTGCAACAATTAATATAGCACTTGCACATGAGCTGATTTGTGTGGTCTTCATCTTCTTGGTTCTTTCGGTAAAGTCACGTAGAATGACAATAAAATAATAAAATAATGAAATAAGACAATAAAATTCTCACGACGTTTCGGCCACAACACAAGTGGCCTTCTTCAGGTGAAGAGACAGGTCTGTCGGGAAGACAGAGCTTGAATGAACACTGTCATGCAAGGACCGCGTCTATTAAGCTGTGTGGGCGGAGTTAAAATATGAATTTGCATGTTACCAGCATCACCTCCGTGACTTTACCGAAAGGATCAAGAAGATGAATCCTTGCAGTCACGAAAGCTTTAAATCGAAATTGTGTGGTCATCTTCCTCTTGAATGCGTTTTGTCCTTCAGCTGTCACTCTCTTGTTAGTCTCAACCACTAAGAGTCATAAGGCTCGTGTAAATTCCTAATTAATGCTGCGTACATGTGCTCCCTAAATAGGAATGTTGCTGTTGTATTGCTCAGCCAAGTGAAACCAATTGCTGACTGCACCAATTGTCAGAGGAGCATTTCCCTCAGATGCCCTTTCCCCTACGTTTTCAATACCTACAGCCTAAGACCATTAACTTCATCACTGACCCTTGTCACTTACGGAAATATTTATTTCACAGCCATCTGCCAACAGGAATATAAATGACAGCTTTCACACGCAGAAAAATGACTGACTGAGAACCAATAGTGGCCTTGATGAGCCTCTTTAGTCTTCATGGGTTGCAGCCATCTCACACTTTTTTTAAAAAAATTTCCCACCCCCATGATTGAGAGCTGTTGTGGTTTTATCAAAGTGTTGGCCCTGTACATCAAACCCGCACATAGGTCATGCGATATCGCAATAGTGGTGACCTCTGAAAGAACACAATTGCTCTACAGTAATTGGGGGTATACTTTTTACAGACCAGCTTCCCATCAGGGAAACCTTGCACATGATCCCTTGCATCATACTGGGTTTTGGCAGCACTACAATGCAACAGCCAAGGGTATGGTGGCATCCATTATTTGCTCCAGAAAATTAGTGATTGAACACACATACATTTAGGAGGTAGCTTTAATTAGTTGTAATATTCACCTGAGAAGGTACGTGTAAAAATACTGCAGCATGACTGCAATGTAGTTTTCAGCATCATCAATTGCGGTAAATCCACCACAAGATAAAGCCCCCTCCAATATGCCACCATCTCTCACGATCATGCAATGTATAATCAACCTAGCATCTGAACATGCGCTGATTTCATCGCTCCATATCTGCAGTGGATGTCATCTTAGATGTGTTAGTTCCATTTTATGTACCGTTTATTTTAACGAAATATTTGCACCATGTTGCAATTTCCAATGCCATTAAACAGCATATGATAAATAATGCTGATTCTGGGCTCAGCTCAGGTCACACAGTAGTTGTTCACAAAGTCTTGAACGGTGGGATATGTCTGGCTCGAGTCGACGGATGGTCTTGACATTGTAAAATCGCAAACAGAGCCCTGCAAAATGCATTACAGGGCAACCAATTAGTGCACAATCCCCCCCTCCACTCAATGTAAAGAGGGCTGCTTGGTCAGTTCTGGGGTAGCACTGGGTTTCCTCATCTTGCATCTTCAATGTGGCCTGTAGAAGTACCCGCGCTGTCAATCAGCGACGTGGACATAACTTATTACTTGCAGAGCTGCCATGTCAGAGGTGACATATTGATGCATGAATTGTATCCACTTTACATTTTCTTGATACGCAACTAATGAATTGTATTCAAATTTTCCACGCCGATAATTATCATCAAGCAAATGTAAAGTGGATAGAATTAATTGGTTGCGTTTGCATACGTGCATGGATTCTACAATGCTTTCCAACGTACGTTTATCGCTTTAAGTATTTAATTGCCAATGATAACATTATGTTTCAAGCCAAGCAATGGCACGCTTTCGGCCGGCACGTGACTTGCGACGTTGCGAGATGACGACACACATAACAACGTCATTGAGGCTTGGTGGCGCAGTGGTTAGCACACTGCATTCTGAATTTGATTGAATTGATCTGTGAGTCTTTCCCCCTTCAGCAACCCGAACTGACCAGTCAGGTGAAGTGTGGTTAAACAACCACGATAACCGACAAGGCATTGTGAGGCGTTCATCCAGCAGTGGATTGAAATAAGGGATTCATTTTTCGAAAAAGTACAGTACTGCTGCTTTTTTGGAATTTCAAACTGCTTACAAATTTTCCACGCCGTGTTTTATGCAATGTAAGGTGACTAATTTGTACTGTCCTGTATGTCACGAAGCAGTTTATCAGAAATCTGTCTCATGAGCTGTTTTTGACCGAACAGAGACTTTGCAGTCACACGCTGTAAAAGGCAACTTCAGTGCCATGCGGTTTATCTGCTCCATGCAGACCCCCACTGCTTTATTACATTTCCAAAGTGACAGGCGCAATGAAAAAGCACTGCATTGCCCTAGGGGTGGCAGTTAACTCCCTAAAAGTAATGTGTTGATGGCGCTGTGATATTCTTGCTTGTTGTTCGATAGCAACTTAGAATAACAATTTCTTTTGAACAGACAATAACAATGTGAAATATGTTTAATGATACAGATTTGATTGGCCTGTACATTGATTTGTCATTTTAACTTGTACCAAGGTGAGTTCATTAATATATTTGAATGTAACAAATGTGAATTAGATTTTTTTTGTAAGTACCCAACATGTATAATAAGAATAGTGTTGCAGCCTTGCTGTTTAGATCAGCACAAACACAACGTTATTTTGCATAGGTACCCTGATTGAGTGCATTGGGTTAATTAGCCTTCCAAATAATTGTAAAGCATTTTACCATCAATTAACACGTTCTTAACACATACACACCAAAATATCCTGAAACATTTTACCACTTTACAAAATCTAATCATGACACCACATCCATGAATAACTTTACAGTGTTTCAAATTAATTTAAATTACGAAGAAGACTATGAGCCTGCAGACACAGGGCACGCTGCACATTTCATGGCCACCTGACGAAGCTGCATGCTTTTAAAGTTCACTAAGACTGGAGAGAAACATCGTTCCCAAGTGGAAGCCACGATTACTTTTATCGACAATCTCTGCGTGCAATGACTGCAGGTAAAAGCGACTCGCTGGACCTTGCTTCTATTGTTTGCTGTTGTAACTTGCTGACCCGCCCATACTGGACATCTGTGAAAAAAGACCTTCATAGCTCATTGGATTCCTCCAGTCTCAATAAAGATTCAGATTCTGATCGAACCAGCCAGATGTCTCAGCGGTAGAGCGAGTAGCTCGCAATCGGAATGTTTCGAGTTCAATTCCTGGATGAGAGTTGACTCAATGCATAATTTCTTCAGGGTTGATACAAATTTGGACCACTTTGTGGGGGAGTCAACAGTGGTTGTCCTATGCAAGCTTTGAGTCCCACTAATCATAGGAATGCGAAACTTCAACCACTGGCTCAGGGCTGTAAATGGGAGATGATCACTGCATCAATGGTCATCTTGAGCATAAAATAACTTTGACTACCGGCCATCAGCCCTTGTAGTCACGATGACCCACCCAAGTCCACTTTAACGTTTCTTAACAGTCAATACAATGTCTGTCACTTGTGCATGCTGGTCCTTTTTGTGTGGTTGTTTTACATTTAGGTCAGCTTGCATGTTTGCGTACTGAGCTCAATCACGTTGTTTTTTTAGTCTCTCTATTTTCTACGACTGACAACAGTTAACGTTTATGTGAACACTGGCATTTGACAAAGGGTATGCGATCTTTCAATGAAATGTAATTTTAATCACGATATAACCTTGATAGAAACTGAAATAAATGAACAAATGCAACAATGAAGTCATCACAAAAATGTATTTATTTTCCCAACGGTACACTTCATAACTCATTAGATAAACTGGAGAGTTTTGTGGATGCAGGCAATGGGATCATTGAAAATAAAAGTTGGATGTGTTTTGAAGAAGAAAAGCTTTACAGGACGTTGAGCAGGAATTTCAAGGTGAGGTATACAGGAAGTTTATCTCTCTGTCATCTTTATAAGTAGGACTGCCTTTATAAGCCGAATGTAATTATTTGCTGCCAGGTCTGATTATAGTAACCTTAACTATTCGTAGAATTTTTTTTCCTAACAATACTATATATACGATCGATGCTACATTATTGATTGTTACGATTGCCCTTTGCTTTATGCAGTGTTCAAAACGATTGGGGTGAATTTCAACTGCAGTACAGGTTTTTGAATTCTACTTTACCACGACAACATTCTCATTCGCTGTCACTGTTTTTTGCTTCCATTTTTTTACTCTGATGAGGAAACAGCGCTCAGTGAATGAATGTGGATTCTGACATTGCCGGGGTCCACTTGCTTGTAATGGAGATGTATACCTCAAATTAAATTATCGTTTTGATTTAAAGCTTTCGTGACTGCAGTAATTCATATTCTTATTTTTTTCGGTAAAGTCACGTTGAAGAGAAACAACAAAATAATAAAATATATATAAAACAATAAAAAATTCTCACGACGTTTCGACCATAACTCAAACGGTCATCTTCAGGTGTGTTTGGTTAAATTATCGTCTTTCCGCCGCCATGCCTCTTCCTCCTCCGTCCGTTTGTGCCGCTCCAATAAGGTTCAAACTCCACATACGCTGGAAACCCACGTGCATCGCGAGTATTCCCAGAACGAAGCGGGTATCACCGTAGCTCGCACAAACCACGTGCGTTTCCCATTCGTGCCATGCCGCGATGTTTCCGAGCGTGCAGAGGACAAGGTGTGGACTACGGTGGACCATAACAACACGGAGAGGACGTGGGTGCGCGGCTCCAGTCCGGAGCGGCCCATCCTGGCGGCGTTCGCGTACAGCGCGTCGGCGGAGCAGCTCGCTGCGCTCATCAGCTCCGCTGAGCACTGCCAGCAGGAGGTGGCCTACTACTGCAAGCGCTCACGTCTGCTCAATGCACCAGGTGGGACAGAGCCACACCACATCCAGACCCCAGCCACGGGCAGGGTTACCATCTCTGGGATACAAAGGAAACTGGAACATATCGTGAGAAGCATAATGGTTCGCAATACCGGAAGAGGGGGTGAACTGCATGGAAGTGCATGGTCTGGAATGGTGTATTATTAAGAAACTGACAAAAAACAGGACTTTTGAATGTCCCGGAAACACTTACAGTTTCCACAGGAAAGCGGACAGTGCAGCAAACATTTAAATATCAAAACCGCCACTTCTTTCAAATGTTCTTGCCGTTGGTTTTCACACCTGATGATGCCTGCTTGTGTTGCAGTCGAAACGTCGTGAGAATTTTATTGTTTTATATATATTTTATTATTTTATTGTTTCCCTTCAACGTGACTTTACTGAAAGAACCAAGAATATGAATCACTGCAGTCACGAAAGCTTTAAATCAAAATTTAAATATTTGTCCAAGTGTGGTATTCTGGGTTATGCCTAGGGTTGCCACCTGTCAGGTACAAAAACCTGGGACACATCATGGGAAGAATATCTCACGATACCAGAAGAGGGGAGAACTGCATGTACATGCGTTGTTTTGAGTGGTGTGTGAATATACGCAATTGACAAAATCCACCTCAAAAAGAGGACGATCCTGGGGAAACCAGGACATATGGTGACCTAAGTCGTGAGCAACACGTGTGTCTCTCGACCATCTTCTCCATTTATAGGCGCTTATTATATGCTTAGTACCTACAATATATCAGTACAGCAATTCTCCTAAAGAGAGACTCAGCTGATATCTGCATTCTACATAACTGCTACAGGACCCCCTATGGAGATGAGCACTGCCCAGGATTAATTTGAACACATCTTGACGTTTCCGTGAAGGGAATTAGGAATTAGCCTAAAAACATAACATTGGTCCACAATTTTTTAGACGTTGTCTGGTTCAGAGATGAAATGTGCTGTTTATTATGGATTTTGATGTGCTGAATTCAAATATGACAATTAAAACAACGGATTGGCTACTGTTCCCAAAATATAGTTTTTTTTTATTTTACGTCTATGTAATTTGTGTAGATGGTAGAGTTTTACTCATAAATTGTAAACCTAGGTCTTTTCATGTGTTTATGGTTGCTTTACATGATAACATGTGACCTGTCATGTTCGTGTAAAACTTTAAAAAATATATGAAAAAGTGTTTCATGAATACAATTTATTATGAAATAAAAGGCATATTATGTATATAGAAGAACAAAGTTTAGTCCTTACTCAGTGTCTACTCGGCACTTCTTGGCTTGTCTCTTGTATTCATTAAATGGGGCATCTCTTGTCACTGTCCAGCAATAGGCTGCAAGTATTGATGGGCTCCATTTGCCCTGATAGCGTTTCTACATTGTTGCAATGGCCTGGTAAAATCGCTTACCATGCTCGTAGCTCGCTGCTCTGCAGTTCTGTGGAAAAAAAATATAGATGAGAGTGCAACAAATGTTTATTTAGTGACATGTTGCAACCAAGGCTTTTGTATGCCTTGAGGTTTTGCACCAACTCCCTGTAGTTGTCTGCCTTGTTGTTTCTGAGAAAAATTGTTGCCACTAATTGGAAGGATTTCCATGCTGTCGTCTTTTCCTTGCCACGCAGTGCACTATCAAATGAATCATCTTGCAGAAGTTCACGAATCTGAGGACCAACAAAGACACCTTCCTATATCTTAGCTTCACCTAACCTTGGAAATTTTCCACGGAGGTACTTGAAAGCTGCTTGTGTTTTGTCCATGGCTTTGACACAGTTCTTCATCAGACCCAGCTTGATGTGTAAGGGTGGTAACAACATCTTTGCTGATTCAACAAGTGGTGGATACTGAACACTTTTCCTCCCAGGCTCCAATGACTGTCGGAGTGGCCAATCTATCTTGATGGAGTGGAAATCTCTCGCACGACTATCCCATTCGCAGAAAAAATAGCAGTACTTTGTGTATCCAGTCTGCAGACCAAGCAAGAGAGCAACAACCTTCAAATCGCCACAAAGCTGTTGGTCATAGTTTATGCACCTCAAAGTTGTTTCATGTGGTCATAGATTTCCTTCTAAGGACTGCATAACCAACTGGAATTAACGGAAAAACATTGCCATTATGCAGCAAAACAGCTTTAAGACTCATCTTCGATGAATCAATGAACAGTCTCCACTCATCTGGATCATGAACGATGTTGAGGGCTGCCATCACACCATCGATGTTGTTGCAGGCTACAAGATCACCTTCTATGAAGAAGAATGGGACAAGATCCTTTTGACGGTCACGGAACATGGAAACCCTAACATCACCTGCCAGGAGATTCCACTGCTGCAGTCTGGAGCCCAACAGCTCTGCCTTACTCTTGGGTAGTTCCAAATCCCTGACAAGGTCTTTCAGTTCACCTTGTGCTATGAGGTGTGGTTCAGAGGAGGAGGATGGGAGAAAATCTGAGTCATGTGACCTTGATAGTTCAGGACCAGAAGTTTAATCCTCTTCCTCGTCTGACTCAAGTGAGAATGATTCTGGTGCATCAGGATCCGTCAGTCCTTCTCCGTGGGGTCCTGGGCGTGTAGCTGATGGAATGTTTGGATAATGCACAGTCCACTTTTTCTTCTTTGACACACCTTTCCCAACTGGAGGCGCCATGTAGAAGTAACAATTGGCGATTTGATCTGTTGGCTCTCTCCAAATCATTGGCACTGCAAAAGGCATATATTTCTTTTTCCTGTTCAACCACTGGTGAAGATTTGTTGCACAAGTGTTGCAGCATATGTGTGGGGCCCACATCTTGTCCTGATCTAAAATTTAGCAGCCAAAATAAAGGTGATATGCTTTCTTAACCACAGTGGTTATACTGCGCTTTTGTGATACAAAAGTCACTTCACCACAAACATCGCAGAAGTTATCTGCTTTGTTCACACAAGTTCGAGGCATCTGTGCTGACTTTGGCTTAACAGAAATGTGTCCCTTTGCAAAATCAAACACTGACAAATAAAAGAGCACGACACTATGATTTCTAGAGCTGATATAGGGAAATTTGTTCAGCAGAGGGATGTAAGCCTAGTTATGATTGCATCATCCATGACTTCTTTGAATAACATGATGTAATTCATATCAATCTTGATTTGAAGTTTTCGGGACTGCAGGGATCCATACTCTTTGGTTCTTTCGATAAAGTCACGTAGGTATAAAATAAAATAAACAAAATCACGACGTTTAGATTGCAACACAAGCAATCATCATCAGGTGGGAAAACCACAGCAATATTTTTTGCTGTGGTATTGCCACCTGATGATGATTGCTTGTGTTGAAATCGAAACGTCGTGATTTAATGTATTTTATTTTATACCGACGTGACTTTACCGAAAGAACCAAAGAGTATGCAATTCATATCATGTATGACAATACCAGGTTCAGATTGCATCATTCATTGTTTTGCTCAAAAAACAAATACTGTCTAAACTCAGTCACAGATGTATTCATAGATCCAGTCAATGATGTATTTGAGTCATTTCTGGTTTAAATTGAGATCCCTTTATAACTCACTTATCCTCCGCCAATCAACAATTGTAAGCATCATTTTCATTCTCAGTGACCCAGAATTAGTAAAGTTGGACTACATATATTTTGGAAGCATTTTGGCTGTAGACCAGTGAATCAGTGCAACTATCTGTAAAATTACTTATTTAAAAAAACTAAGTTTGTTCATACCACATTATCTTAATATATAAATACACATTACGGTACAGGGTTTTGAAACTGGGCTCTGAATATACACATGTTACGCATGGTTAAAAACCAGTTGTGCTATACCGTATAGCAACATCATCATCAGCCATAGTCAATATACTGTGGATGAAGGTCTTCTCAAGCCATCACCATATCGTATGGTCATGCAATGCAACAATGCATATAGGTCCTGCACACAAGATTATCTAATTGTTCCATCTCCATAGTAGACATTAACCTGGGCCATGTTCCCTACACGCTGTCATTAGTTTTGATCACGGTTCATCGTCCCTTCTAGCAGTGTGTTCTGTCTAAGCCCACTTTGTGTACAATCTCTAATCCATGTGTTCCTCATTAAATGTTTCTCAATGTTAACTCGAAGCACGCAGCTCTTCATGCTTCTCTGCACATTTTTCAGCTCTCGTTCCATTTTCCTCGTCAGTGTCCATGTTTCTGATCCATTTATCGAAGCAGGTATTATGCGCTGAATAGTCACTGCACATTGTATATAATGTGATAAATGTCATGCTATTTTTTTTACAGGAATCTACTTGTAAATATAGTTTTTCTTCTGCAGTGCTGGGAAACAGCGATGCATATTAGACAAAGCACTTAGGTGCTTTTGAACATTCCCAAAGGCATTTTGCTGTTGCCGAACGTTCCTGCGGTTTGAGGCCCACTGTTCTGCCCTGTAGCCTGCCGACGCAAGCGAGTTTCTAAATAAACTGTTTCATTCTCTACAATAGCAACGTCTCGGGTCAGAGGGTGTTAGCCAGTGTTCAAATCCTGTTCTGAGAACAAAAAAGTTAAATTGGTGTGACACCGCATCATAGGGCCACGTTTGTGCTGACAAAATAGAATGCTTTGAAATTTCCGCGCTTGATTCTGTGACCGCCAATTGACAGTGACAACTCAGTCCGCTTGCCGGTATCGGGCGAGCCTTGCGCCTGCGAGCTGGACACAATGACAGGTAATTTTCTAAGGCCAATGCGCAGAGAGGAGTCAACAGCCCCTGGCTCGTGTGAGTTGCCTCCCCCCCCCCCTCCTCACCCGTGATACGTTTCACTTTTGAGTGCCTTATCGTCAAACCGAGCCGTGATGAGAAAACCCGACTTGATGCAGGCGTCACGACGGTATAGTCACAACAGCGAAGACGGGAGTCAAAACACTCGTTATTGATTGGGGGGCCATCCGGTGGGGGAGGGGCTCAAGAGGCGTCTGCGGATGGGGAAGGGATACGAGATTGGAAAAATGAGCACTCATCACGAACCCGGGCAAAACCGGCTGTGAAAAATCGTCGCGTTTATAGCTCTTTGGTGCATTCACACTCAGAGAATTGATTGCAACACACCTCCACAGGTTTGCGAAATAACGCTGTGTAAATACAACACTTACCGTCAGAGCAAGAATGCATGGTTAAAAATAAAAATGTTGAACAGGAGACAAGTTTAGCACAAAACGAGTGTCTCGTGATGCACACAGTAAACTGTTCAATGATCCGTGGATAATCCTTCACTGCTGCGATAAAAAAAAAATCCTCACCCATGCCAGCCTTTTCATTAGCGCAAGCTGCAAACCAATCAATACACTTATATATTTATTTACCATCTCTAGAGAACTTTCAGCTAAACCGTTTTCTGTTTACGATCCTCAGTAGTAGGCAAACTAAATCGTGCATTTTGCCAATTGTGGCCTGAGCCAAATTGCATGTTTTAAGCTCTACACTTTACCCCATTGAACCTTTGCTATGCCAGCATCTTTGCCGCTACCTTGGGGGTAGAAGTGCTGGCTTAGAGGCAGCCATTCCCTGGCTAGATTTAATATTTATGAAATTGTAACTCAGTCTTTGCTGATAAATGCAACATCAAACCAGTCACAATGGACAGGTGGCTCAGTGGACTAAGATGATGTCAGAGCACAACACCGCTGGGTACCTGGGTTTGATATCGACTATAAAATATCCCATGATTAAATATATTTGAGTACAAAAAAATGTTTAATTGTTATGCAACAAATGCCTCTTGAGCAGGACATATGAGAAGGTTTATTACCGAGCATGGATGAGGCATAAGAGGCCCTCAGAAGTAGTTCTGTGTTGTTATTTTCCAGATGCGATTCTCTAATTCTGCTTCCTGCGAGACTGTTAGAATGGAAATCTATTCATCTTGTGGCATGACAAAAAAAAGCACAACTCAAAGATAATTGGGGAAACAGGAAAAAAAAGGTCATACTTCTCCTTGAGAACGTTAAACATCCCGCAGAAATGTTGCTGCATGTCTCTAGAGGTGGCAGGATGTTTTCAAACCACAGCTTTTTGTTGCTGAATTGAGTTGCCCTGTAGGAAGATATTCAATACTGTGAATCAATAATACATAAATAGCACTGAACTGCGAGCTGTTTTCTAGGGGTCCGATCGGTGAAATAAAGATGGAGCGTTTCTCGTGTTGACCTTCCATTCTTTTATTTGCTCAAATTGGTATTTTCAGAGAGGAAAGGACATGAAGTATTGATGCATAAAATTGATGTTTCAAGGGTCGTCACTTTTGGTGACGTTAACAGGCGACGGAAAGTGATTGGGAGGAGTAAAAAATGGAAGATGAGCCACACGACAAGACTTTATCTTGGGTCTGAAATGTAAATTATCCTGGCATCCATTACTACTCACAACAATTAAGAGTAAACTTTGTATTTTTACTGGGTGTGTCTACCCTTAAAATAGATGTGCCGAATGCATATTACAGCACCTATTTTCCACATCTACAGAGGGAGTTTTCAAGTGAACGTCTGGTCTAGAGTATCAATTTAAGCGATGAGATGTGAAAATCTGCACTGTTATGACGGTATGTGGGGGTCCGCAAGTTTAAAAGCGTTTGGTACAACATTTTTTTTTATAACACTTTGCCAGTTTGAAGCTGCCACTGCTGCCGTACAGATAATATGTTGGCAATGTATCAAAATCGCCTGCGAGCTGCTCACAAGTGGACATTAAAAGGAGCCCATGATATCCTGTGCAAGATAAGACCAGTGTACGCCAGTGCCTTGACCAAATTAACTACCTGCAATAAATAGGCAATATCCTTTGCAACAAAACATGGCCTCCTTTCAAACGAGCCACATTCAGCTTAATGGAGCTACCCTCTATAAAGATTTTCAAATAAATCTTTGGCCTTAAGAGTGCTGTTCATTTTACAAGGTCCCTGACGTACGCCTCTTAGAAATTATCGGGCTCCATTACTATTTGGCCACTTTATTTATGCATTCATTTTATTATTCATTCCTAGCTCCTTTTTATTACTTCAGTTGCATTTATCTCAAATAATATGCTTGAAATCGCGAAGTAAATGTATGGGTTAAGGTCTGAACTGCGATAACTAATTCAAGGTCACCCATGGGGAGGAGTGCAGTCTGGAGTCCACGCTCGGTCTGCTGATGGCTTCTCATGTTACAGGAGGGCGCTGAATGCCTCTGCTTATAATCACCAGATAAATTAATGAGGGTTTTAAAATTTAATGGAAAAATCCTTTGAAAACTGAAACACTTGTAAATCTAATGGGCCAATGTTTTATCTCCGCCGAAGATTATGCATTAGCGGCCGCCGCGGCAAGAGTGCTCCACATATTGTGTTGATCTCATATTTCACGTAATTATTGCGGTGCTATTGGTAATTAATTACACCATGTGTCATTGGGAAGAATTAACTTGACAGCAGCTCGTATTTTTAATCGTATGCATTTGCAGTTTTACAATCAATCTGCGCGTGAGCCGAAAATGTGTTGTTTTACAAACATTTAATAATCAAGGTCTTGCATAACAATAATAAAATGGATTATAAAAAACGTATAATAGTTATGATGGTAATTATAGCAGCAGCAATAATATAAATGTGATCATTGTGCTGATTGACAATCACCAGCCATGTTCTGTCCATGTCGACATCTGTCACGTTCTTGCAATGCTACATCAGCTGGTCTCATCATCATTCCATCTCTTGGGTAGTTGTCATCTCGGGCACGTTCCCGCTATTGGCTAGCATTTCCCACACCTCTGATTAGCACGGTTGGCTATAAACTGTGCGAAAAAAGTTCAACATACACATATACCATTGCATCAACTAGTCTCATCTATCTGCTGTCATCCCTCCCTGTGATGAATTCTCCCCAAGCTCACTTTATTTTCTTAACAGTCAGTATATCTTAAATTTGTGTTTCTTCCCCAGCTGCTTACCCTGCATACTTTTCAGATTGTGTTCAATGTTCATTGTTCGAGCCCACGTCATGGCAGGTAGCACTCACTCAGTGTTCTTCCTGAGACACATTGGTGTGTTGATTTTCATAATCACATTATTTTATTAAAGCACTCCATCCTGTTCACACCGACCTGTTCAATTTATCATTTTGATCCCAGTCCACCTTCAATTAAACGCTGTTGAATTTTCCAGTTGTGTTTCTCCAACGGTTATTTGAGGTGAACTTGTAGGCCATGAGTGTTTATTCGCTCGTATTTAACTTTAATTCCACTTTTTAGTTTTCTTTGTAAAGTTTCAAAATATTTTCCTGTCCTTTATTTTCATTGTTGTTATCATGACTATTTTGTCAGTGAATCTGAGATGATTAATCGTCTATGTCTTCATCAAATCCAGTTATCAGAAAATATATTCAGGTGTTGCTGTGCCTTAGTGAGAATGCATTTACTGACTTGACTCCTGTTTTATGTAATCTCAGTGTAATTGTTCCATCTTTAATTAACGGCTTTGATTATTTCAATGTAGATTATCAAGGGCTTGGTATATGAGCGCTTGGATGACCGCATATTTTTCCATGAAATCAAATAAATTTTCATTTTATTTTGTAGACATTGTCTTTAGTAGACTAAAATACTATGAACATGCTTTACAGAAGTGGCTTTTAGTTGAGATGTCAAATGCTGACTAATTCAAATATATTTATGTATATATCGTCATATATATCGTCATATATATGTGTCTCCATGCTCCTTTACGAAACTTATGGTATTCATGGGGCCAATGTTGAAAATGCTAATTTTCCTTTATCATGGACCATTGTCTACGTGGGATAACCATGATAATTTTTCCACACATTTGGAGAAACATTTGAGGCCTAGCTGCAATCAACATGGGAGGGATTTTTGACGTGTGGAAAAATCGGGATTTATGATGACCATCTCATGGCAGTGAGGTCCTCTAATTATGATCATGCTCTGCTGCTATCAGATGGAGAGCCATACACCTGGTGGGTCGGAAGGACCAATGAGAAGCAGCGATACTGGGGAGGATCAATCCCTGGAGTACAGAAATGTGCCTGCGGAATCACAGAGAACTGCTCAGACCCCAAGTTCCACTGCAACTGCGACACGGACATGGAGCACTGGTGAGTGGTCTCTGAGTTGGATGAGTACAGTACAACGTCGCATATCCGACCCTTGGGCGACTGTGGCATAGGCGCATATGTGAAAAGGACAGATGTGTCAACACCGGCAGAAAATGACAAATACCGTACCTGGTGTGGGCAGTTAATCGGCCAGGATGGATACATGATGGCCAGATAGTGCGACATTGTACTGCACAATAATATCCCACAATAATATCCCAGGTTGATTTAGCAACGTTGTTGGGAATGGCACAAATGCAGCCTTTAAAAGCCAAATGTTTACTATGAGCAGCCAATTGTTGTTTTGACATAGCGTCTTGAACGTTCTTTTGGCTTGTTGCATTGTTTTTTAAGGTATTGCTTTTAAAACATTGGTCTTCTCCATATTTCTTTTGCTTTCCACTTACCGAAAGAGCATGTCGATAATGCTTTTGCATTCCTTGGTGTAAAACAGAATGCTTGATTACCTTTGTGTATCTGCACACCTTGAAATTCATTTGGGTAATGAATGCATTGACTCCAAAAGGTTACAACATATCCATAACAAGGCTCAATGGAATAATGCAATGAGGACTAATGCTCCACAGCTTATTTTAGAACAATAATAATGACCCAATAATGTGAAATTCATGAAAATATGATGTAGAAAATTCAAGATGAATACCCTTCCTCCCTCTTGATGGAATCAATCACTATTGATGGTATATTTTGCATATAAATAAAATGTATTAATTCAACAAAGCAAGCATACTCCATCTCTATGTTGAGTCAAACATGGTTAACAATAACGTTAAGAAGTAAGCTTTAGACCAGATATTTCGTTAGTGTGCTTGGTGTTGTTAAATACCCCTCGATAATAATTTCAAGTAGTCGGTGATCTCACAATGTAGTGTTTGTGAAGCGAACCAGGACACAATTCACACATTTAAACAAAGCTGAACGGGACTCGTATTGAAAATGTCCAAATAAACATAACATTTATAATGTATACTAGCATCACGCACATCTTCTTTGGTTCTTTCGGTAAAGTCACGTAGAATGAGAATAAAATAATCAATTGATAAAATAAAATAACACAATATTCTCACGACGTTTCGGCCACAACACAAGCGGCCTTCATCAGGTGAAGGGACGAGACTGTCTGGAGGACAGCGCTGGAGTGAAAAAGCCACACTCAGATCACGACCTTTAAGCTTAGAGTCGCGGCTCTTCTAAGCTTAAAGGTCGTGATCTGAGCGTGGCTTTTTCACTCCAGCGCTGTCCTCCAGACAGTCTCGTCCCTTCACCTGATGAAGGCCGCTTGTGTTGTGGCCGAAACGTCGTGAGAATATTGTGTTATTTTATTTTATCAATTTATTATTTTATTCTCATTCTACGTGACTTTACCGAAAGAACCAAAGAAGATAAATCCTTGCAGTCACGAAAGCTTTAAATCGAAATCACGCACATCCTTTGAACAACACCCTCTACCCGTCCCTCCCTCCAGCCAGCAAAACTTTTTGTAACATATGGTATGATAAAAATCCCAAGACCATGACAAGATTTTTCTCATGTATTATTTCAGTAAACCTTTTCTCTAATTATGATAATAGTTTCCACTTGTAACACGCACAGTATTCTCCCACTCTCGTAGAGAGAGAACAACTCAAAGGTGCAAGCAACCACAGACAAGTAGGAAGGCAGCCATGCAAGGAGCCGACGACAATAATTGCCCAATGTCTGCGGTCCTCTATTTGTTCAGATTTTATGAAAAAAAGTGTTTACTTTTGTTATTTTAAAGCATTGTAAATGGAAGGTTTAGAGAAAAAAATTTAACAAAAAATAAGCACAAACTAAATTAGAACTATAGTTCCCCAAAAAGTGTTTAGTTAATCGCATGCCACGATACGTAATATTTGCCATGCGCTCCTGAAAATTTTGCTTGCTTATGCTGGTGTCGTGTCGTAATTAAATTTCATCCCAGTTTTCGGTGAACTGCAGGTGAATAGGTTAAGGTGTAGCATTGATGTGCTTTGCCCAGGGGATTATCATAATTAACCTTCTGCATAAAGATCTCCCTTAGCAGCCTGCAGACTAAGGTCATGGACGTGAAATATGAATTATAATTACTCCTGGCATCGGTACATTGCTTGTTTGGAGGTAATTTATATGACATCATGCATATATTTTTTTCCAATGCACCGAATCTAAGCAAGAATTAAAATAGCACGAACCTTTGTTGGTGATTTAATAATTGCGCCTATTGTGTGCAATTATTTTAAATATGTTTCGTGCAATGTTCAGACATTGTGTTCGCAAGTCTTTGTAATAGCAGAATGCATTTTTACTTTTGCATTATTCTTTAATCGGTATATTATACATAGTATATTATACATAGTATATTATACATAGCATATTATACATAGTATATTATATATCATATTATACATCTTATATTATACATTGTATATTATACATAGCATATTATACATATATTATACATAGCATCTTATACATAGTATATTATACATAGCATATTATACATAGCATATTATACATATTATATTAATGTTAAATTAGTGTTTGTGTCAGTGTTAGTTCGGTATATTATACATAGCATATTAATGGTAATTTAGTGTTAGTGTCACTGTTAGTTCGGTATATTATACATAGCATATTAATGGTAATTTAGTGTTAGTGTCAATGTTAGTTCGGTATATTATACATAGCATATTAATGGTAATTTAGTGTTTGTGTCAGTGTTAGTTCGAAGTCATTCGGTGTTTAGATAATAATACCTTTCAAATGAAAGTACAGGATTTGCACTTTTTGTTCCAGCCGCTGAACATATTTAGTCTGTGGGAAATGGATTATGGATTATTTTCTTGGTTTGTTTATTGCGTTTGAATAGTATATTTTTTATGACATCCTAAGTAAAGGGCACCTTGAGTTTAGATATGCATTCTATATATAACATTATCTGAGAGTTGTATGATAGATACATATATAGACTGCCTCATACCCATAATTTTTCAGACACAATACTTGTGGTTGAATATATTTTTGTGTTATTTTTTACGTGTTTTTCTTTTGATATTTTAATTGAGTATTTCTGGATATTTTCTGCAACGGTTTAATTAAAAGTGTCCACATAAATGTGGGAGCCATGCCTTGTGCTGTCAGGTTAAAGACATTATTAATGGAAGCGTGCTAGTGACAGTAAATCAAGCGAAGTGGTCTTCCCGTTGCGAACGCAAAATTAATAAGCCTCCATCTGATCTTTGGTTCATGAGTCTGACCCTCATTTGATGCAACTAACCTTCCGACCTGCGAATAATAGGTGAAGAAGAAATACTCATGTGAAATTCAATTATTTTTATTTTGTTAATGTAAAAAGAGAAAACGATTGGGAGCACAATGCGCATGCTCATTCAGCCCACACGAGTAATACAACCATCGTCTATCTACACTGACCTGTCCTACATGCCAGGAACAAAGAGTTGGCATCCATCCAATTAAGCAGGAGTCAGAGCTGTAAATTGTATTATTTTGGCACAAAACCACTGCGCAGATCTTAAACTAATGAAACGTGCATTGCTGCAGTCAGATGGCAATTACTTGATAAGCATGAGCCTGCTTCACTTTATATCGAGTAGAAGCCACTTATCTGTGCCTGTTACAAAATTATTGCCTACTAAAATCATACACGAATGCTTTATATCTGAATATGGGTTGCAAGTGATACTCAAAAGCATATATTTACCAGGATGACATTTTACTATACCTTACCTGTGAAAAATAATGCCGCTTCATTTTATAGATTTTTTTGCTGAACAATTGGGTGATTACCACAAAGCAACGCTGACTTATAATTAAAGAGTGCAGGTGTAATGTAGCTCTCAGAGACACAGTCTTGTTCAGTTATATGTATATTTATTATGAATAAAGCCCGCCGAATCACTGATAACTTAACGGGTAACCGCGAGTGACTATATACACTCGGGTAACTTAGATAACTCTATTCTGAGACAACATAACTCTAAGCCTTCCAAGACTACAAGGTGCCCACTCCAAGACGATGAAGACGACCCGCCTCCAGGTGGTGACGGCAGTGCCCCCACAACAGCAGCCCAGAGCCCCGTTTCACGCCGACTTTTATCCCCCTCCCGACCCGGCCACGCCCCTATTCCCGAACCCTCTCTCACCGCACCTGGCCCTGTCAGTCTCTGCCCTTATTACAATTTACGACCGTTAGGTCACGTGCTTTCCCTCGCGCGACCCTGTCAACGCTTGTCGCATCAATCATTATTAGCGACCACTTAGGTCCCACCTTACCCTAACTTGACCCTGTCTGTTCCCGTTACGTTAATTTGTGATCATGGCCACGGGGAGCTGTACTGTCCCTACATCCCCCCCCGTACTGTCCTTACACAGGGAGAGCTCAGCTTGAAAATAATAACCATCAGTGGAGATCATTGTGTGCAGTCCTACATAATTGAAAGGGTACTTTACTAAAGACTTTGATTAAAGTCTTTTGCCAGCTGGAAAGTAAATTTAAGAGTCCAAAAATGTTGTTATTGTGATGTCCGTACCAATCGTATGTCTATTCCCCCCCTCCCCCTGTACACTCTTATCTGTTGGAACATCGGTGCAAATTGAATGTTATATTATAGAGGGAGGGACATGCCTGCTGCTATTTAAAAAGTAGGGGCATTGGTTAGCAGCAGCTCGGGTGTGTATGCACGTGAGGGTTTGATGGGTCAACACTGCGCCATGTAAAATACGTGCTGCCTCCGCCGAGTTAATGAATTCGATCAGTGACTCCCCTGTCAAGGGTGTCGTGTTAAGGGGGGGGGGGGGAGAGATCGTGTTGCTTCTTTTGTCAGGATGGAAAAAGGCTTAATTCTCCCCAGACCGACAAGGAAGAATTAACGTTCCTGGAACATCGCAGCCCACAACTGTTGTTACAGGCAGGAGTTGACTGCAGGGCATGCAAATTCGCACGTGCGCACGCGCACGTGCGGTCTGCGGGCGCGTGCACGTCATTTTGTATGGTGGATGTGCGGCCGCATTCGCGATCAGCATTAGATTGACAATTTAGCTTCATAGGCAACTTGTTAAATGAACACTGAAGAATGAGATATCTCATATTTTTTAATACGTTTCTTATAAATGCAGTGTTTTGAATTTACAACGATTTACGTATGTTGAACTTCTGTCGCACTGTACATAGCCTGCCGTGCTAATTAGATGTGCGGAGAAAGAACAACAAACTAAATACAAAAAGCAGTTTTAAATAAATGAGTTTTCAATTTTGATTTAAATATATCGGAAGGAAGAGCATCCGAAAGCACGCGATGCGGTGACTGTCTTTGTTCGATTGCTAGCCAAATGAATGTAATTTTAATGGGCACTTGCAAAATAAATTAATTCTCATAAACACATCTGACGCAACAAAGTATTTGTTTCTTTTAAAAAAGGCTTCAGTTCTGAAAGTGAAAACATTCAATATTCATTGTTAGCTTGAGCCCCACTGTCCATGTGTGCACGCAGACAATGAGATGAACAATTGAACAGATTATTTGTGCACTGTCCGTAATATCAGTGGCACGAATCGGCATAGTTGGCAACAACTACTATTTTCCACCAAGTGGTGTTGACGTCCCAACGGCCCTTGTGTCAGACTATGTGCACCTTAAGTCCACGTGAAGTGTCGAATGCTCGCTGGCAGGAGGTCACCGGACAGACTCAGGTACCACGTGTTGACTTACTGAGATGGCTGGCAGATGCACCACCTCTGCTCCCTACTATTCCGAATTGCTTAGTTGCCCCGCACTCTGCTTGTTTTTGTGAGCGTGAACAACCCTTCGCCCTGGCCTATTGATGGTATCATAGTCCTTGACCAGGTCAAGTCATAGTTGGCACATGCACACACACGCACGCGTGCATGCACGAAGAGGTGATCTGCTTAGAGATGCAGACAATGGGAAAGTGCGCTGGCTCTTCTCAACGGGTCAATCGCCAGATGCATTGCCATGAGAGTGTTGAGACATTCGAGTGCTTGGTGTCTTGCTAAACGAAAGAATCCAGATTTATTACTTTAATCAACCATTAAAATATATATTCAATTTCGATGCCAGTCTCATTCTTGATAGAAACTCCAGATGGTGACCTCCCATCAGTAAAGCTTGAATAAGCAACTAAACATTTAGTTTGGTATTTGTGTACAATACTGGAGTATTTAAATATTTTAGTTTTAGCTATACATCTAAATAAAAATAAACCACAATTAACAAACGTTATGTGTAATACATGCACACAGTAGGGCCACTTGAGTTAATTTGGTTATTGTTTTTTTAATTCACTTTTAAAGATTTGAGTAAAGAAAATAACAAAAAACTTTCAAAATCAGAGAAACGTAGAGATGAAGTTACTCAGCGACTTGGAAAAGATTGGTCAAATTGCACATAACGACACATGGCCTGTTTCAAATTGGAATTGACCCTGTCTGTTAACCATCGACGAACCAAATTTTAAACTTCTACAACGCGCACGATGACGTCTACATGTTAGAAGCAAGGAGCTCTGCACGTCAAGCAAATGTACCCTAAAAATACTAGTTTGAAAAATAATCCTTCAAAATTGCCACTGAAAAAAAGAAGTATTTTATTTAAAAAAAAATATACTCTTTCAATGTGTGAGATATCAAATGCGTGGGCTTGCTCTGGCGTGGATTTTTGAGTGCATTGGCACGACGTGCTGTGACATTATTCGCTGCATCAATTCTAAAGTTGCAACCGACAATTTTGCTGGATTTCACACCAACAAGTTTTACCAGCGTGAGGGCAGACAGCCAGCTCTTCGTCTACAAATGTCAGACACGTGACGTGGGTTATCGTGATATTAGACATTGCGATACGTAAGAGATGAAGAGCTCTGACTGTGTTGTTGAAGAATAAAGGTAATGTGTGGCAGCAGTTTGCTAATATTAGGCGTTCAAAGTGTCGTTGACACATACACTGCGTGATTGATGTTCACAAGTATATAAAGCTGTAAATGTCAAACAACTACGGTACAATTAAACAAAAAAAAACCGAAGGACAACGAGTGACATTGTCGTGCGCATTCATTGCAATAAATACATCTTTTATGTATTTCCACAAATAGCCTGCAGCACAAGGTATAAAGTTGTCATTAATTATGACTACATGACCTGGATGCGATGCACAAAAGCCCGATATGTCATGTTCACTCATCTGTATATAGCTAATCAATTAACATATTTTCAGGCCAAACCAAAAATTATGTTTGAAGCTCATACAAATTAACGCTAATTCTTTTTTGTAACATAAAAATGCTCCTGCATAGATTTAATGGTTGTGCTGCACACTTTTCCGATGTGTTTTCGGATTGGACTCCGTGTTGTTCGACGTATTTTCCGACGATTTGCCAAACTCAGTTCCTGAAGAAGCTCCCAGCATGTGGAGCGATTCGTCGGACATTATGCCGAACAATATGCGGGCACAATCCGAAAACACGCCAGAGAGCGACGTTCAAATGTTTTTATTTTCTGGAACTCTTTCTCTCCGCCTGATGAAGACCGCTTGTGTTGTGATCGAAACGTCGAGGTTTTTTGTTGCAATTTTTTTTTACTATTTTCATTTATTAAAATTTTATTTGAATTCTTTTTTATTTAATTCTATCATTTTTATTTATTTATTTTAAAATAGTTTAGATTTTTTTTTACAAACACCACCGCTCTTATTTTTATTTTGAACTCTACTTAACCATTGTTTCCAACCTCCCCACACCCCCATTGTTTCCCCAAATCTCGCTGCACTCCAGGAAGGAGGACTCAGGCTTGCTGGGCTACAAACCGCATTTGCCTGTGATGCAGCTGCTCATCGGGGACACTGATCGCGCTCTCTCGGAGGCTGCCTACAAAGTGGGACCCCTCTCCTGCCACGGCGATAGTAAGGAGCAGAGCCAGCGCGCGGGCACGTGGCACACAGCGCACGGTGCAGCGCAATGCAAAGTCACCACTGCGGAGAAGGCAGACAGCAACTGCTTTTGCTTACAAATTAGAGAGAGAGAGAGAGTACCACGTTGTTTTAATGAAAGCTCGGTTATCCTCCTGGCAACACAGGAAGTTTGCGGGATTTAGATTTTGATGGAGTACCGCTGCTCTCCGTTCGATCTCTGTCACTCACGAGTAGTCGTAGAAGACTTTGTTTGATTTTAATTGCCTGTTTAAAACTGGCGATGGAGGGAACATCTTTTATGCAGAGAGCAAAGGCTACACATGCCATTTTAGTAAAACGAATATTGTACGTACTCCATTAAGTAATTCTCCATTTGTTTTGCAGGTATTTTTTTTTGCAAGTAACTACAATGAAGCTCGGTAGATTGTGGCGTACATAATGATGTAAATTTAACAACAGGCTGACATAAAGCATCATAAAAGACACGTGTCCTAACCTCTATGGTAGTAAAGATATCTGCAGTGTACACATTTTATGTCTGACAGTTACAGTTCTCATACAGTCCCTGTTTTTTTTTATTTTTTACATGGCCGTGCGTGTTTTTCATGCTGATAAGTGACCAGCTACTGTAAATGTGGTGTTTATGATGCATTTTATTAGGCAGATAATTGCTGATAATTCAACATGATTAGATTTATAATGCCTGCCTTAAAGTGGGTTCTGTATGAATGTGTTATTTTTTGCCTGTTTGGAATAGGGTCCCCTTTTAAATGAATCGCTGCTTAACATACCATTTGCACAGCGGAGCTGATAAATCCATGTTAGAGGCGCCCTGTGGTGTCAAGTGGCAATGTGCTTAAAGTATCTTGAATGAGCAACCAGGTGATCTATTGGTGAGTACCATTGCCCTTGAGAGTGTTCTCATTCAAATCCAACCTTCGCTCCATTCTAGTGAAGCATTATTATGAAATGAGCAGTAAGCAACTGTACAATTTGTACGGATGTAAAAAAATCCCGTAACACAAGCCTCGTTATGGGAGCAGTGGTGGAGCGGCTAGGGAGCTGTTTTGTGAACCTGACAAGGTAAGTTTGATTCCAGGTCATGGCGAAAATCAGTGATGAGTGACACCTGAATTGGACCTGAGCCTCCCCCTGGTCGACTCTGCCTTGAATGAGTACCCAGTGCAGTATATAAACATGAGCACTTGGGAGGCGAACGGTCGATCATGATACTTGCCACATTTTTGGCCTTAATACAGTGGTTCTTCACCTTTAACTTCAGCCTTGCACCCGTTTGGTTCTCAATCGTAAAACATGTACAATGGTAATAAATACATAGGTTTGATGAAACAAAGTAATTGTACTAACGTGCCCGTGCTTAATTTGTGTTTCGATGATTTACCTTCTCAAAAAAATCTGGGATGTCTCGCATCTCCAAAAATGGAATCTCGTACTGACAGGGGGTGCGTGCACCCCAGGTTAAGAACCACGGCCTTAATAGGTGCTCGCCAACAGTACTTGTCCAAACAGTTTGTGGGGACCTTAGTCTATGTTTTTTTAACGTATCTGCAGGTTGTTAAGAATACCCCTATCTCCGTGGGCATCAAAAGGACAACTGGTTCAAATTTGTTCACTAAACAACCTCAGATGGTATCAAGGGAATGTGTTTTAAAGACACCATCACACGGAAACTACTGAAAAAGCTTGCTGTCACAGTCCCAGCACAAGGATATATTTTACTGTCCAGTACTATATGAGCTTGCTGATGCTGCCACCTCGGATTAGAGTTTTTTTTATATGATGTCCAACGAACATTGTCTTCTTGACGTCAAACAACAAACCTGGACACATTGATTACAGCCAACGCGGCACAGCATTGTGACCCTCGTACCAGGTGGATTTTAAGTCATATTTTTCTTTAGCTCTGTCGGATGCATCAAAGGGGTCAACATTAATATCACTCCGGCAGGGGTGTGGCAAATCTCGACGATGGAAGGAAAAGACGTGAGGAGGAGAGGTCTATGTTCATGGAGAGTTCCATATTTATTCTAGGTTCCGTCCTAGAACAGTTTCAGCTGCATGCAACGACATTGGGGGGCAAATCTGTAATAGGTGTGTGTCAGTACATGAGAGTAAGTCCATGTGTGTCTATATCCGAAGTGTGCCTGTATCCAAAGTTGCCCTTTGTCATCCCACCGCCAGTATAATGTAACGATATGTTGCTTATATCGCAGCTGTGCTTACATAAAGCTATTTCTGTACAATATATTTGTTCTCCACAGTGATAAATACTAGATTTGAAACTTTCGTGACTGCAAGGATCCATACTCTTTGGTTTACTCCCACACAGCTTAAAGGACGCGACCTGGGCTTGGCTGTTTTCACTCCAACGCTGTCCTCTGGACAGTCCGGTCCCTTCACCTGATGAAGGCCACTTGTGTTGTGGCCGATACGTCGTGATTTTTTTGATGTTGCTTTATTTTTTACCCACGTGACTTTACCGAATAGGACCCAAGAGTAGTGATAAATACTGTACAGCAGTGCTCTTCCTTGCAAGTCCCTTGGGCCACTGGCGGCCCCTGGTGGCCTTTAGTGCGGCCCCTGACGTGCGGCCCCCAGTGCTGTCAAACCCAATGATTTCAAATGTGTGGCGGCCTTCACACCGATGTCCTTTTGAAAATTAGTGAATAACACTGCTCTACAGCATTATACGCTGTACATGCATCCGTTCGTACAAGTGTGGGTGTGCGCACAATTTCATCCAATTGTTGCCAATTAACCAGGAGCAGCTTACAGAACATTGCTCAGCTCTGATGTTAATGTAGTTTATTGTAAAAAATTCGGTCACAGTCCCTGTGATCACTGTTACGTTGCAATTATGGCTTTATTCTTTGGTGATTTCGAAAACGTTTTTTGGTTTGGACATGTTTGTTTTGTTGTAGTACGGAGTTAGACTGACGGCCTTAATCTAAGTTTTCTTGTGGTTGTTGTTGTTTGACTTGCATCCCACTGGGATTTTTTGCACACAGCGTTGGTGCACGGTGCTTTTTTCAGGAATATTTTGCTGTTTTTCATTGATTTTCTGTTTACACAGTCACATAGTCACTTTAAGATGTTTTCTTGTTCGTGTTTTTGTTTTGTTGTGGTTGCACCCGATTCAAGAGCCGAATGGCTCACAGGGCTATACCAAAATAAATTAACTGAACTGAACCAAATAATTACAGAAAATAAATAATTGCACTTGTCGTGATAAAATAGTTACACAAGCGCGCCGCGGCCCATGTAGCAGCAGCGGTGGCGTGTGTTTGCTTTTGAGGATTGCGTGGGCAGTGGGGGGGTGAGCACAAACATTGTATCCTACCCAGGGGAAGACCCTGTTGCGCATCCTCATTGAGCTCGGCGGTCCGCCTGCTCGCTGGAGAGACAGTCACTCTGCATCCTGTTCCTTCCTCTTATCCCTGACCACGCTCTGGCGTTTTTCGGCACTTTGCTTGCAAGGGCCCGTTTGTCAAGGAAACCTGGTTGTCTCCGATAGACTCCTATCTCGTATTCACATCTCGATTCCCCTTACCCCCTTTGCGCCTGATCCATTGCGTCAAAGCTTTGGAACACAAACAGAATATCTATTTCAAAGTATGTAATAGGGAAAAAAATACTTTAGCTTCAGAGCTCCTCCTGTTGGATTAAAAAGAAAGACGATGTGTTGAATAGTTTCTAAATACAAAGTGGATTTGTCATTGTGGCCAAACTGTTTGTCGATGGTGTGTTATCATGCTGTCTCTTGCACACTGTACAAGAATATAAACCAAAATAACAGTATAATCTTCTACCAGTTTTGCCATATTCACAAAATTATAATGTGAAGCTCGACCTCTTGATATATTGATACATGACGTGTATTTAATAAAATGTTTATCAAATGTATGGTATAATTACGTCTTTGTACACAGTAGCCTAAAAATACCAAGGTTCCTCGAGTGATGGATCTCAACTGCAGAGTAGTCCACTTGCTGAAACAATAAATGCTGCTGGATAATATTTGTCTGGAAACAGAACGGAGTTCTACTTGTATTGTGCAGAGTTTTCTAAGGCTTACAGAGCGCTACTCGTACAGTACATAATATCTAAAAAAAAGTATAGGTCAGGAAAGATCTCACCAAAAAGATGCTTCTCCAACCATAGTAATTTCATCGCCAGGCATTTCGACAGCCAATCCAGAGACCTTGGCCGTCAAAACGTCTGGAGATGAAATTACAACAGTTGGAGAAATGTCTTCTTGGGAAGATCCTTCCTGACCTATTATTGTTTAGATATTAAGTCGAAGTCCCAACTGCCACACACAATGTTTTTAATCCTACAGTTCACCAGAGGACTGTGACCCAGAAAAGTATTAAGGAAAGGGATGGATTAGTATAACCTATATGACATATTAAACAAGCATATTTTGTGTAATATATAATACTACACTAGTTTCTGAATGTTGTTGACTTGTGCATGCACAAGGAACGTAAAGATGGGTTTTTGGGGTCAAATGGGGACTACCAACAGCTCCTCATTTAATCTTTGTGATTATAGCCTCTGAGTGTCATTCAGAGACTATAATCACATGGCCTCTTTAGCTATAGGTCTTGTCAAGTGGAGAGATACAACCCCCTATATTAATCGCTTTTTGGCCAAGATAATCAGACAACTCACACGATGGGTAAAATAGCTTTAAAATAAAATAGATCAACTGGGAAATCTTTTGCTTTAAATGTGAAGGAAAAAAAAAACTGAAAATGCAGCACTTTTCAAAGTACAACAGCAGTTCCATTTATTTTTAAACTGTGTTTTAAATTACGTACGTGACCTTGGTTCATGGGCATTGGTATTACGAGCAGACATATACCATGATACTTTTGTGCCACTTGTGTATGGACACCTCAGGACACTTCTGGAATTCAGTGCTGTTCACGACGCCAAGTTCCTACCTGCATTTCCCACCAATTCGAGCCGAGACCAGCCTGGACATCGCGTTCTTTTTCAAGACGACGACTGACTCCGGCGTGATCCTTGAGAACATGGGGGCGAGCGACTTCATTCGTGTGCAGCTCAAGTGTGAGTTTCCGATTTGCAGATTCATGCGTGCACACAAATGACGAAGATCCCCCGAATAGCCTTAACAGACTGTTGGAGCAAGTGCTGTTAGTAAGCACTGAGGGGGTGGGGTGGACAGCACCACGCCCGACCGCCTTTGTCTCCCCAGTGGCGATGTTTACACACTGCACCAGGTACTCATTTGAGGCTGAGTTGATCTAGGGGAGGCTCAGGACCGGTTCAGATAATCGTTACTGATGTTGGCCGTGAGCGGGAATAGAACCTGGGTCGCCGGGTTCGTAGTGCGGCACGTTAACTGGTAAACTACTGCTGCATACTTAGACATGATTATGAACGATCGCCAGCGTGATGAGCTGGCATTTAAGGAGGGGATCGATTTTCACCATTCCAGGTCGCAATTTAGAAGTTATATATTTTTTAAAGATTATCGTGAATATATTGTCTCTAGTGGCTACAGGAGATCGACATGTAAAAAAAGAAATGTAACATTCATAAATAAATATATACAATTGAAAAATTGTGTATTTTTTATTCATGCAATTAGTGCACGAATTCATTTTCAACATTAAATCAATGCATTGTTACTTACCTATTGATCATTATAATTTCATGTTAGTGTATTATTGTTTTAACTTTTCACAAATTAGCACTCATCGAAATATTAAACGACGACGGAAGATATTTTTCTTATTAAGCTATGTCAAATTATATTTTAACCATTACATAATGGTATTTATATAAGTAAATCACACGACTTCTGTGTGGCCAACCCCACTGAACCCTTGCCCTCTCCCTGCCCCCCGTGAAAACAGATATTGCTCCGTGTTGCGGTGAGGCCCTGATGTAGCCTGTTCCTACCCATCGTCATCTTTCCTTTCCCCTTGGCTCCCATTTTTCAATTCCTTTTCCATCATTCATTAATTTCCCATTGTTATATGCCTTGACTCTGCTCCCCTTCCAGTGCTGCTGGGCCACGGGTAAAACATTGCCAGTATAAATATAACACATTACTGACATTGTGAGTGCTTATAGAATACTACTATTGACACAATTTCAATTGAAGAGTCAACTCTATTTTTTTTATAGTTCAATGCAAAAGATAGATTCCTGATATTTAGATTAAAAAAACATCTATATTTACGTCTCGATTTAAAGCTTTCGTGACTGCAGGGATTCATCTTCTTGGTTCTGTCGGTAAAGTCACGTGACTTTACCGACAGAACCAAGAAGATGTATTTACATCGGTCACTCCTACTGTTGCACTCAACACTACACCCCATTATATGCCATACCAGATTTAGGGTGATTCAATTAATTACATTTATTTTAGAAAAAAAGACAGATGCCCAAGTAACCAATTATCTTTTCACACTGGGATAGTTTAAAAGAATAAAAGCACGCGGTTAAGCACAAATGCAGAAAATGGTGTGAAATGTATTACATGAAAGGTCTGCTCATTAGACCCTGAAGGAATATGTTGTAACAATCACAGGCTCTGAATTAATTCCACAGAAATTGCTCAAAGTCATTTCATTGTATGCAGCAACTGAGAACAGTCGTGTACCAGAGACACCCGGTGCCACATGGTTCATTATCCATAACAGAGGTTTTAAGACTGAAACAGGAGGATTTCTCCACAACTCTGGCTATCGCCTGATGAGGCTGGTTGGAATTACCGGCGAAAAGTCGTGCTCGAATTGTAAATGTTGTGGGTTTACTTTCCAAAACACCGGTGTGCTGAACTAGTAACGAATTGGAATCTTTCATTCCATGACAAACCTTACAAAAACCTTACCTTACTAATTGGCTGTGTTGGGTGGTGGTGGGTTTAACATTTATATTAATGCGATGTTACCCAAAAACCTATTATGGATAATATTGGTCGTGAAATCTATGTGTTAAAATGGTTCATTATTATAAGTGAAAAAACTAATTATGCTCATTAAATGCAGTACATATATAACCTCAATCTCTAACAAAAATGTAGAAACATCTAATGCCGAGCAGATCCGGTTGCCATATACCACATACCAGCCGTACAATACAATATGGATCTATATTGAGTTGAAACGTGACTGAATGGCAAGACGTTGTGCAGAAACGGTGGCCATAGGACTTGAGAAGGTTAACAACACGGATCATGGGATGAAGGCGTTTCTAGACTGCTGGAGCGGGAACTGCGGGTAAAGGAAAAACGTTTCAGCCCATGAGGGATGAATTTTCCCTGATTAAAGGTTGACTGGTGGCTTCCATAGAAAGCCCTGATTGTAGGAGCATAGATTGCAGAGAGTGAGAATAGAGGGGAGAGATAGTCACGGATGGGTCCATGAAGGATCTTGAAAATTACGAGTTTAAACTTAAAATTGATGTGGAGGCCACGCGATTGCAGTTCTGGAGTTATGTGGTGTCACTTATGAGTATGAGGGAGAAGTCTAACAACGGCAGTTTGGACTATCTACCTACGGACATATATATGTTGTGATCCATAGGAGTTAGATAAGCAGTGCCTTTTTTCCTTCAAACATCAAAAGCAGTGATGGCATGAGCATTTATTCTCTAAATAATAATTATAATAACAATAAATATTATTACATACTGCAGCCCCGCACGAAGTGAGCTTCAGCTTCGACGTTGGCAATGGCCCAGTGGAGATGGCCGTGCGTTCGGAGCAGCCGCTCAATGACGAGGAGTGGCACGTGGTAAGCGTCGAGCGGAGCCTCAAGGAGGCGAGCCTGCGCGTGGACCTCCTGCCCCGCGAGCTGGTGCCTGCACCCGCACAGGGCCACACCAGCCTGCAGCTCAGCAGCCAGCTCTACGTCGGTAAGAACACGCAACCACACAATACCTTTCTTGCTCCTTTAGATCAATACCGAAGTAAAATCTGCAGTGTCCTATTTTAGCGTTGTAGGTTTTTTTGTTGTTGCAGCCACTCACAATCCAAGTGAGTGCCATGGTGGAGAGATGTTAACTCCCTCGGCTCGTATGCAGGAGGTTGCGGGTTAGATCCCGACCCTGATGCCTGTATATTTGGAGTTTAAATATTCTCCCTCCACATTTAGAAACATGCAGTTAAAGTTTTTTGGATGTTATACAATTCCACGTGATAAGCCACTTCCTTGAGCTATCATTTGCGGCCAGGGTCACTTTTGAAAAATAGCTATTTGTCTCAGTGGGCCTTAATTGGTAAAATATTTGTTTTTTAGTTGACGTGTTGTTTTCCAAATTAGGCTGCATTTCTTCTCCCAAGCTTTTAGCATGCATTGCCGCAGCTTCAGGACTTGAATAAGATGTCGCAGTCATTTGGGCTCGTCAAATGTTTGCTGTCCTATTATTTGAGTGGGTCGTGGGTATAAAAGTCTGCAATAACATTGAGTTAGCCTATTTCAATTCAATATCACTGTTTGTTGATGATTTATCATTCTTGCTCTTGTGTAATTATTTAATTTGTAAAACACGTGCTTATGGCTATGTTGCCGAGCTTGGAACACAACAATAAATATGACATTTTCATTGAGGGTGTAATAATGCATTGATTAATCAACGAATATCGATCCCGTTGCTCCTGATACATAACTCAAACTGCACACGTAAGAATCGATGTTTTTTTTACATTCGTGTTTGGTTTGTGCAATGGCTTCTGTTGACCCCTGCAGCCACTAGTGGCCGCTAAATCCAACCCAACACTAAAATAAGAATTTTTCTTTGAATCAAATTGCGCCACCCCTTGACTTGCGACAATTCATCAAACCACCTGGCAATTCACATCACACAATCGCACTGTAGCACGCAAGCAACGCGATGAACGGACATCGTTTCCCCCTTCGCCCCACGTGCGCGCTCCATCACTGCGCCAGGATCCTCCGTGTCCGGCCACAGCGGCTTCCTGGGCTGTGTGCGCTCGCTGCGCATCAACGGCGCAACGCTGGACCTGGAGGAGAGAGCACGGGTCACACCAGGGGTCAAGCCAGGCTGCTCGGGGCACTGCCGCAGCTACGGCTCACTATGTCGCAACGGGGGCCGCTGCATCGAGCGGTATAATGGCTACTCGTGCGACTGCTCCACATCTTCCTACAACGGACCCTCCTGCACAAATGGTGCGCATACATGCGTGTGTCTTTCTTTGGGTCGATTCAGCCTCAATTGAGTACCTGGTGCGGTGTGTAAACATCAGTATTGAAGAGACAAAGGGGGCCAAGTATGGTACTGGCTACCCCCACCCCCTTGTGTGCCATGCCGGCATTCACAGGTGCTCGCTTTTTGTAAGCAACATAAGAGATATAGTAATGGTCATACAGCGTTAGACAAGATTGATAAGGGGTGGGGTTGGGGTTTGTCCTTTACAGGGTAATTGGAATGCTGTTGAAGTTAATTCTTATTAGCGAAGGCAGGTTTAAGTTTAGCTAATCTCCACATGATTCTGAACACACGCAAATGCTTTAACGAAGTGCATGGAAATTGATGGCTGACGAAGAATAATGTATTAATATTCCCCTCCGTGTTTGTGTATTTTATTTGTTTAATTACCTGAGAAGCCCTTAATGCTTCCCACACCAAGCTTGCGTTTCTCCTCAGAGGTTGGTGGTTTTTTCGAGCTTGGAACATGGATTCAATACGACCTTTTGGAAGATGATGACGACGAGGAGGGTGATAATGAGTTTTCAACTCCCAAGCGGGATCCGAGCAACATTGCACTTTCGCGCGAGAGCAAGCCGTGGAAGGAGCGAGTGATGCTACCGCTCGGCAAGTCCGCGGGGACGTACGTGAAGGAGGCCGTGGCTGCGGCGATAAGAGAGCCCTTGGAGGACTCTTTGCCCGGGGAGACGGTGCTGCTGAGCTTCAGCACCACGAGCGTGCCCGCGATCCTCCTCTACGTCGGCACCGACTCGTGGGAGTACTTCGCCGTGCTTCTGCAGGAGGATGGTGAGCCGGAGCGGGGGCAGGTTTGGCAAGTCTCAGGATTGGCTCTGACCACGATGGTGGCTTTTCTTTTGTCACTCACTCAACCTAGGCCTGACAATAAAAGCCTCATTGATGATTTCTGCAATGGCAGCAATGGCCAAGCACCACTTTACAAATATTGCCCCAATTATATATCTATGTATGTTAGTGAAGGGTTAGATATGACAAAAACATTTCAGAATGCTGTATGTTACGTAACATTGTGACAAGCCATGTCCACAAACCTTCCACTGCTACCTTAAAAAGCATTTGAATCACTCCATCTGAGAACATCGTTGGTTCAGAAGCTGTGGGTGGCATGCAGGAACAGTTTGTGACTCCATGTTGGGGTGGCAACAAGTCCACACTCTCCAGTTTCCATTATTTGGTGATAACGTGCATGTAGGTGGACTCGTTGATAAATTAAACACAAAGGCAACGTGTGCCGATCATGTGCCAGTGCTTGCACTAGACCAATTCTTCTAGAAAGCTACATGAGCTGCATGCATTCCGTCTGGTGGAAAAAGTGCTGATTATGAAGCCACTGCCACGCATTACAATTGATCTCAGTCTATAGGTTTCTATTTGAGTCTGAGAGTCTTTACGTGAGAAAGCATGGATGAATAAGCCACTGTCAGCAAAATGTGATTTCCAAATTGAACATTATATAAGGCCATGGATCTCTGTGTGAGTTTTGCGACTCTCTATCGAATTTTATAGGCGTCTATGTGAGTCTCTATGTGAGAAAGCGCTGATGATGAAGTCACTAGCAGCGTATCCCAGTTTCTAATTCCAACTACATGCATTACCACCTGAAGCTGGTAAGTCCGAGATTAACTTTGTTGCCTCATCATTCTGGAGCTCTGAAACGGCACTGGTGGAGAGTGCATTTCATTGTTTCTGTTTGGCTTGCAGGCAGACTGCAGATCCGCTACCAGCTGGGGGGAGAGACAGAGGCCATCTATATGGAACCACGCAACTTGGCCAATGGGCAGCCACACGGCCTGAATGTAACTCGGCATGGACGGGAAATCTCTGTGCAGGTGGGTGTTACATGGGGTTTCCACCTGTCCTGCTTTTTCTAGGATCGCCCTCAATTTTAGAATTCTATCCTGGGATATCTTTAAGTCTATCTAGGACATTAAAAGTCCTGGTTTTCATCAACTGTGTAATAATTCACCACTCCAGGCAATGCAGTCACATTTAGCTTTCTCCTGTTCAGGATACTGTGAGAAATTCATCTTCCCATGATATGATCTAAATTTGTCCCTATCTCACAGGTGGCCAACCCACGTATAACATGTAGAAATGGCAAATGTTAGTGCTAGTGCCATTGGTGTAGCATGGTTGGGCATGGGCCTGTGAAATGTTCCTTCCTCTTCGTAGGCCGGCACCCACGGCCCTCTGGCCTGCGGAACCTGGTGCAGCCCTGCACCACCTGCACACTGATAGCTATGCCACTTAGATCGAGCACAAAACCTAGGATGAGCAAGTGCCAAAGTTATTCATGTTCTTCACGTAGCACAGACAGTGAATTGTAGGTATTTTTATGGATATGCGAGATCATAAGTCTCAAGTACATTTCTGGCTATCCGTGATTAAGATTAAAAACTTACAGCTTTATCCGAAAATCCCAAACTTTTAAATGTAACGGGCTTTTATTTGCATTTAATTATAAATCCGTCCTGTTAAATACAAATATAAAAAAAAAACTTTCAATATTTTCTCAATTTCTGTTTCACTCATTTTGTCTTTCTGGGAGCCAGCTGGATCACTACGCAGCAGCCACGCACCAGCTTCATGCCCTGCAGATGCACTACACAGCCTCTGTGATCTACCTTGGCAAGGTGCCCGGTAAGCAGCAATAACCAATAATTGTGTTCACAATCCCATGGCACGTGGACACCAATTCTGCATTTTCCACTGCTGAGCTGAAATTGTTGGGTGAAGATTTAGGATTAGCCTTCGCAACGATGATACAGTTGTGATTATATATGAGGAATATTTTTTCTTCTTCTTAGTTTTGGGGTGGTTTTGACTTGATTAGATGACTTAATTAAAGATTAAAGTGTCGCTAGAATTTCCTTTTTTTAGTTTAGCTCTGTATAAGCATTTCATATAATATTCATATATTATATAACATTTTTATTTAAAGCTTTCGTGACTGCAGGGATTCATATTCTTGGTTCTTTCGGCAAAGTCACGTAGAAGGGAAACAATAAAATGTATAAAACAATAAAATTCTTCTTTGGTTCTTTCGGTAAAGTCACGTAGAATGAGAATAAAATAATAAATTGATAAAATAAAATAACACAATAATATTCTCACGACGTTTCGGCCACAACACAAGCGGCCTTCATCAGGTGAAGGGACGAGACTGTCTGAAGGACAGCGCTGGAGTGAAAAAGCCACGCTCAGACAGTCTCGTCCCTTCACCTGATGAAGGCCGCTTGTGTTGTGGCCGAAACGTCGTGAGAATATTATTGTGTTATTTTATTTTATCAAGCGCTGTCCTACCAGACGGTCTCGTCCCTTCACCTGATGAAGGCTGCTTGTGTTGTGGCCGAAACGTCGTGAGAATATTATTGTGTTATTTTATTTTATCAATTTATTATTTTATTCTCATTCTACGTGACTTTACCGAAAGAACCAAAGAAGATGAATCCTTGCAGTCACGAAAGCTTTAAATCGAAACAATAAAATTGTTGCAGATATTCGATTTAAAGTGGTTTTCAATCCAATTAATTTAACTATTTTATATTGCACTTCGCTCCGGATAAAAGTAATTTATTAAATCAGTGACCTGCTCTATCAGACTAATTATTGTTAAGTAGCATGCAAACATCATCGATGTGGGATGAAATTATTAAAGAGCATTTTATTAAAATTAAGTCAATTGTTTATATTAAACATTATTTTCGCGATAAACTTGCAATACATTTTATAACACTTTGTGTTTTTTTTATGTTTATGTAATGAACGCATAATATATTCATATGTGTTGTTACATTTTTGCACAAAGACCTTTCTTTGTAAGGTGCACAATATTGGAAATGTCATGAAAACATTTAGCCATACTTTACCGGACACGGTACCTGTTGTCCACGCACGTTGGGTGTTTTCTTATTGAGAAACTGCCTTCGTTTAGAAGCATCGTTTATTGCAGTGCATTGGGTTTGTGAGAGGGAACTTATGATAGCATCTCTTGCATTGAGAACAAAGGTTCAATTGGTGAGCGATCTCTGGGGAATGGTGCCTTGCTACAGGGTTAGAAAGGAGAGCGAGTATCCCTTCATGAGGGGGGGAGGGGGGTATTTTTGGAACCAGCCAAAGCAGATGAGAGAAAACATTACCTCTAACCCCCACCACCAGTCTTTCATTATATATCCCCACCTTCTCGGTGCCATTAACGCCACCACGATGGCACCTTCGTCAAGGGTTTTTAAACTGGCCTGCAACCCCCCCGAAAGTTACGAATGCGATTCTTTGTGGACCCCTGCCAGGGATAGATGCTATGAATAACAACTCGAGGCTCGCGACCCCAGTATCGGTAGGGATAATGAAATATTAATGACGCGGCCGCCTGCTACTCCAAGCGATCGGCGTGCCCTCGAAATGTGATGGATGGTCCATGGGGAGCAGCCTATACTCTGCCTTGGCCCTTGCGAATGGCTCAGTGCTGCCCTGTTTTAGTCAATTACGATGGTTTCTGCAGGTGAAAAATATCAGTTTGTGGAATGGACTTTTCTTCACTTGGCAATAAAAAACGTACATGTAGAGCATTCGTTGGGTGAAAGATATGTATGTTGAACCTTTTTCGCACCGTACGTAGCCACCCTTGCTAATCGGAGGCGCAGGGATAGATGCAGTGTCATCCATTGTAATATGGTTGTGCTTTGAGACTAAAAGCTTGTAAGGTAGAGGAGAGCGATATTCTGTGCCGACAGAGGTATTATCGTAAGCATTGCTTTATCACCAATCTTGGCAGCATATCAAATATTAGCAGCCCAATATATATTTAATGAATACATAACAGACTCGGAGAATGAGATTTACAACGTGTATATTTTTTTTACCAAAAAAAAAGCGGACGTATCAGCGTGCATTTGCAGGCTTGTCGTTAATAACAGGCAGAGTTACGAGGCACTGGCATGATAATATAAAGTAAGATGGCGCGGAATAAATAATGCAGGATTGTCATCATAAGCAATGCTAAAAAAAAAACCCAAGCAGACACCAGTGATTTACTTTCGAAAGTGTGCCTTTTTCGGGTGTTACGGACATAGAATGAATTCCGGTAGCACTCTTTTTCTTTCTGGCAATGGCAACAACAACAAGGGGGCACTCGATGTGCACAATTTAAACGCACTGAAGAGCACTCCACGTCTGACACCGAACTAACGGGACGCAAGTGGCGCCATCGCCCAAGCATGGGGCCCATTAGACAGCGCGATCCCGGGCATTATCCTCTTTGCACTATCGTGCGAGCAGGCTGCTCGTGTGACTCGTTATCAGAGACGCGCGCTCTTCCTCCCAGCTTTCTTGCATTGCTGCCGTGCCTCTACGGTGGCTGATGCATACTTTGAGATAAAACAGCCGGGTGGGGGATGAGTGAATGGGGCTGTTTTGTTCCCAGATGATATGTATTTAAAGCTTGTGGCATACGAGATATGATTTCCCATATATCATTTTAGCCAACTTGGAATATCTGGTGAAAGTTACGTAACGGGAAAACCACGTTCGAGATATAATATACCGATGATACCTTGCAACACTTCACAAACCAAGCATACCACAATGTGTGTGGAGTTGTGTTTATTCATTTTATTTTAATGTTCCTTTGAAAAAGTAAACAGAGAGGAAAAAAAGTGGGAACGCAAAGAATGTTTATACTATTCCAGGCATTTGACTCGGCAAAGGTTGTGGTTGAGGGGAGATCGAGTATAATATCATATCTATCTCTCCTCCCTGGCTACTCCCCCCTCTCTTACCTATATAGCCTCTTGTTACAGCAGCCCTTTTGCCCACTTCAGCAATTGTTTTTTGCTGTGGTTGTCACACCTGATGACGGACCAAGGGACGGCTTTCTTTTGAGCCTCGTCATCTGGTCGAGCACCAATTGGGTCGAGGCTCGAAAGAAAGTCGTCCCTTGGTGTGGCCCAATCAGTTTCAAGGACAATGCATATATTATCATAGTATGTTTTTTTGTTTACATTTTGACTGCAGGTATTGTGGTTAATGCAGACATGAATCCTTGTAAAAAGGTTTCAGTTTTGTTGCCAGAAAATAGGGGAAAACCCATTTTATTATATTTTGGTACTGGCAAAGGAGGTCTAATGATGATTTGAAGCATGTTTTATTTTCAAAATGGAAATATGGTTGGGGGGGGGGGCAGAGCTTTGTGACATCATATTTGAGGGGGGTCTGACTTTTTGTGATGCCATGTGACGAAGGGGGGGGGGGGGGCAAAAATCGGCCAAAATCGCGCAACGTCATTTATGGACGGCCCCTTTCTACATCTTCCAATATGCTTGGCGAGTGTGGATGAGTAGGCCAACATACCCTATGGAGTGGTTCTCTAGAGATCCCTATGTGTAGGTCCTTCCACCAGCAGTCATGCGAGCAAGCAATTGTAAGGCTGCACTTTTAACCTTTACAAAAAATGATTTTTTAAAGGGGCAACGACGTTTAATATTTTTTCCCGTCCGCTCGCAGACTCGGAGGTGCGAGACAGCGAGCTGCAACGGGCAAATTTGCACGGGTTCGTCGGCTGCCTCTCCCGCGTGCAGTTCAACCACGTGGCGCCACTCAAGGCTGCTCTGATGCAGCAGGGAGCGCCCCTCCATTCCACGTCCTCCGTCCCATTGTCACACTCCAGCGTGCCCGTAGTCGTCCACGGGCGACTGATCGAATCGAGCTGCGCAGTGCCGGCCTCCACGATCACCCCGGCGGCGACCAGCACAGAGCCCTGGGTCTTCCCGGGTACGCCCAAGGCCGGATTAACACGGGGGGCTTTAGAGGCTGCGGCCCAGGAACTCCGATTTTGAGGGGCTGCCAAAAATGTATACGGCTTCAGAAATGTTGAAATGCAATACTGTATCACTATAATAAATCAGTGGTTAATTTGGTAATAAAAGCCATAGCTTGACTACGTATTATGCGCCAAAATATGAAGTTTTTCTTAATTTTAACATAGATTTAAAATTACAGCTTGTGTATCACATCAAAAACTACAACTGAAAATAAGAGGTAAATAACAATGGAGGTGTTTTGCATTGGATATGGGTGGTGGTAAAACAATACACATTTATTCAAAACTGTATAGAAAGAGGGGCCCTCATCAAACGTAATCCAGCCCTAGGTATGCCACCTCTCTTTTGTTTCTGCAAATATAATGGTCCTAACTGGACATGTTTATGTTTTGTTTCAAATGTTGCACAATAAACATAATTGTCGAATTAATTTCTGAAAAGTAAATTCACACTCATGCCTCAAGTGCATTACTTTAATTTTGACCATGTAGCTACAGCAAAATGTTGTTTTTGCTTTCATTAACTACACATGCAGAACGTTTACTCACATTTTAACAGTGCTAATAAGCAGTTCTGGCTATCATTCATCCAAAATATGCATGTGTTTTTGTATTTTTCTTCCAAATTGGTACCATTTAAAGCCACAAGGAAGACTGATTCAAAATCTAAAATGGCTCTTAATAATAGGCACAGCTGGCAACCTGCTTATTTTCAATAACGTTTAATATTTATAAATTCCTTAGTCGTGTCAGATTGTTATTGTTGCACTTCAGGTCCCATGAGAGATGTTTCCTGAGTAACCTTAACGAACGCCCAGATTCCACAACTCACAGTTATTGTGTTTAGTCCTGGCTCATGTTGTTGTTGTGGGACAGAGTAATGTGTCCCTCTCTGGCTCTGCAGACGACTCTTCTGAAATGCCACCAGAAGAAAGGAAACCTATGAGTAGTCCAGTTGGAAGCAACTCAGCTCTCATTGGAGGTAGATGGCTGTTGACTGTTTCTTGAATATACAACAATGTGTGCAAAATTAAGCCTTTAATTCCACCTCTTAATTTAATCAACAATTTGAAAGAGATTTTCATCAGAATACACACTCATCAGAGTAAGCGTTGAAACTAGAGCTGGGTGACTCGATTATATTATTTAAGTAACTCCTAACTCTACCCATTATCAGTTTGATTCCTCAACACTAAAATAGTTGAGGAAAATGTCTCGTCTTCGACATCTTTGTTACCATGTGTGCCACTGGATGGGAGGTGATGAGCGGGGCTCTGCGACATCATGAGCCCCGTCATTCTGGTTGTAGCTTGTAAGGGTCGTTTCCCGCCTTTAAAAGGCAGGAGGTTGGGGTGGCAGCGATTTTTTTTTAAAGATCCCTGAGTAATCTACCACAAAAAATTCAGCTGAATACTATTTTAGTCGCTTAATCCACGTAAATTAACCAATCGTTTCAGCCACAAAGCAAGTATTTTGTATTTGTAGTTTGTGGTTTCTCACGTTGTACGTGTTTGTGTGCATTTATTTTAAAGGAGTGATCGCGGTCTCAATCGTGATCATCCTCTGCTTGCTGGCGCTCGTCGCGCGCTACATCGTCGGGCGCAAAGGCTGCTATCGCTCAGCCATGCGGGGGCCGGAGGTCGTTGAGAGCTCCTCAGCCATGCAGGGTGTCCACCAGAACTTCCACCATGGTCTGGAGGACACCAGGAAGGAGTACTTCATTTAACAGAATAGGGACAGCAACGAGATGCTTTGACGCGCATTTGTCGAGAATATTGTTTACGGTGATGGCCCGGGTGAATGCACCAAGTCACCCGTAGTTGCCGGATGTTGAGATCACAGACGGTGTCTTCACACATGTCCCTGGTATTTTCCTTCTAGACCCTTTCAAATGTTGTGAACCCATTGTCCGATTTTCCCATATTTTTTTATTTCCTTAACATATACAGTTCCCATGGCATTAACTGTTGCGGTCCAGTAGTTTTGTATGTATTTAAATTCAGATTTTGTTCCCTTTTAATGGTTAATGTTTTAATTCTGCTTCCGCAGCTAAATCTTCATTATAGCAGGTGAAATAACATTGTTCCAATATTGTGATATAAGCCTAAAACAATATGTTGAAAATGTTACAATGTATTCACATTATCACATGTATATCATGATTTAAAATATGGCTAAATGTTCCAGGATACATTTATGAAACTGCTTGTGCTATTTTTCTCACAATTAAATGCTACAGCTGTTAACTACTGTTGATGTTAGCCGGGCGTTGTGGCAACCGCCTATAATCCAGCACTTTGAAGGCAAGGGTTGGTGGATCATATAAATTTGTGAAACTCCCAATCCCCCGATTATTGGGTCTTTCGGTAAAGTCACGTAGATAGGTTCAAATAAAATAACAAAAACTACGACTTTTCGATCGCAACATAAGCGGTCATCTTCAGTAAAAGTGGGGTTAGCTTCCAAGGCAAACTGTTTATAAGGGGTTTGAAATGGACGTAGCCCAAATGGCAGCAGCCAATAATAATGTAAGTGGTCGACAGCCAACCCGACGGTGGTTGGTTTTCCACCAACCCCTGTTTGCGAGATGGCAGTACTGGATATCAAGTGGGTTTGTGAACCCATCTGTAAAGAACTTTGAGTGTTATTCCCTCATATGTGTGGGTTTTCTCCAGTTTCCTCTCAAGTACAGAATACTTATTAAAAAATTGGACAAAAACCCAAATGCAGGACTCTTATAAAAATTATTACCAAGACTCAATGAGGTTTTCCTGGATAAATAAGATACCTTAATTTATTGTATTAATTGTGCAAGATAAAATTAATTGCAAATAGAATGTGTTATTTTAAAATTCTAAAAAACTGCATAACAATCTTACGTTTGTATACATACATAATCATGAGCACTTGATAAAAACATATTTTGACCACAAAATCGAATGTGTGCATAATCCTCTATGGTACCATTTCTCTTATACATCGGTCATGTGCAATCTATTAGGTGACATAAATAACATAGTTGACAACCTAGGATTTTGCTAACGGTGAACATCGGAATAAAAACAACTGGAGGGTTCTCTGCAGCCTCTATAATTAAAACCATCTCTGAGAATTAGTATTGACATTTAATGTGCCGTGAATCATGTCGGAATGGCAAATTAAAATATATTTTCTTGGCTTGTGCAGCCAGACTCTGGGGACTAATGGTGCACACTTGTGAATCGCTGAGACAATGTGGAGCTCACTGCTTTAGAATTGCAAGGCTGATCATGAATGTAGCTTGAGTTCCGTTTGGCAAATAGTTTTACAGCAGTGTGGCTATTGTATGTGAGCTCAACATGGAAAGTCCATTCTTGTCTGCGTTTATATTACATTGATTAGCAAATTTGACTATGCTGAAAATCCAATCACAATAAATGGGGAAGCAGCAACAAAGTAAAATATTTGTTTTGTTTGTGTTAAATACATTCAACAAAAAAATACAAATCTATCCACATGCCTTGCGTATACAAATAAGTTTAGTCAGTGGGATGTTACCATCAATGTGGCCATCTTTTAATTGGTTTGGTCCAAAATATTCATGCCTTGTTAAAATATTACAGTTTTTTTTTACTATTTGTAGTTTTACAAAGGGTAAACCATAACTTTTTTGTCAAAACATTCGTGTAATAACCAATTATCCCTTATAAAATAATAATAAAATTAAATGCATTGAAAAATACTGATATAATTTTTCTAAGTACAGTATTGTATATCGATTTATGTTTACAAAATGTATTCTGAAGAAAATCAACATTTAAAGATTTAAAAAAATGTTTTCAGTGGTAAAAACAACGCTAATGTGAACTGCATTTAAGTGTCAATGATTAACATTTGTTAAATGAAAGGTGGGTGACGTTTCATGTGCGGTAAGGATTTGTAAATAATTGTAAAAATGTTGTAAAATTGCTTTCTTCGTCCGTTTTTTGACTTTATGGAACATTAATAAAAAGAGGTTACCCTTCACGCGTATAGTGTGATCATGTAATGTTATTTTACGCAGTACTTAGACGTGTAATGCGTCAGAGAAGCTTGAGGATTACACTATTGACTACAAGTGAAGAGCACTTGAATATTTCTACTGTGTATTTCTGTGTAGAAATATTAAATTGGTATAGAATACAGCCATTACCGAGGATAAAAGTCACATGTTTGTTTAAACGCACTGTTGATTTTCTGAGACCATTCACAAAACACCTATAGTCAATCCCCTTACCCTGGGATCTGTATCTTCTACGTTGCCCCTTACACTTGGTTGTCCAAACTGTGAATAATGTGTACACTAGGCTATGTATATAGCAAGTGACCCGATGCACCTCGTCGCACCATCCTTCAGCCATGGCACATTGTAGGGTTAGATTGTCAACCTCTGCTCCTGGCTTGACATTGTGCTGAATCCATACATAACATTTGTTTAACGAATCACCTCCCGCCCTCACCCCCAGTGATTCAATGAATTGTCACGATATTCAGGGTGGTGATTTGATAGTTTTTTTTAGATTGTGGCGAATGTAGTTGTGGAGCTTTAGTGGCTTAGTTGTGTCATGCGAACTCACTACAAGCGAAGAAATAGGAATGTAAAGGTGTTGATTCATACACACATGATTCAATTAATGTCTCACGGGTTTACGGATTGGTATTATTCAATGAATGCTTTGTTACATCTCGAATAAATGACATATACCCAAGGTGCCTAGCCACACCAACTCAAGCCACGTGCGACTTTCCTCGGTTAAATCCAAACATTTCATTCATTCCAATTCACTCCTTAGAAAATGTATGCAATTTCATATTGATTTTCAATACAGTATTTGATTAGTTACTATATCATTCCAATTTTCTGGATAGTTTTAATATACACAGCGTATGCATGCAAATGTATACATACATCACATTAAAATATATATTACATTTATATTAAAAAAGTATGCTGCATTATAAACATGTTATTTTTAAAAATACATATTGCAAAAATAACTTTATGTATATTGCAGTATTAGGCCTTGCAGATATGAACCTTATGGCGGGACCTCAGGGTCTCGCATAAACTGCGTTGCAACGTCATTTTATGTCTGCTGAAGGCGAACGATACGGCGATCTATTCCTCTCGACGAGCTCTACACGATGCGCCAATCAAAGGTGAAAAGTTTTGTTTCTTCTGCGCATTCGTCCTCGCTGCGCTTGGACGTGACATGACAACAGAATGATCCGCGCCAGGTGGGTCGCTGCGTTTATGTACGCGGTGAGACGGAGTGGCCAAAAATAAATGTATTAATTACGATTTTGACTTCCGTTTATTCGGGACCCCGGGGTCCCGCCATGAGGTTCAGTGTATTCATCTCAATAAGGTCATATCTGACTCATGACTGTATTTGAAAATAAGTAAACATGCATTATAATATAGTTAAAGGGTGGACACAGCCCCAACACCAGAGCCTAAACCTGGAGGAATGGTATTGATGGATACCTTGTGAAACCCCTTCCCGTCACCGAGGATTTCCTGTTTATTTAAATACTCCATTTTTCTACCTCATATCAATGCCTCTCATGGGCCACGTGGCATTGCCTGGGGAGTTACTGGATGGCATGGGGATGGTTGACAGAGAAGTTGTAATGAAGGGCTATTCAGCCTACATTATTCTTGCGTTTGCCATCACAAGTCAAAATCCAAATCGTTCAAACGCTTTGTCACTTTTTTTTAGAACAATCAACCTTTCAATTCCACTTCTAGCCATTTTAATGAGCATCGGCCCTCAACAATGTGGGTGGTTGTTTGCTGGGCAGCAGTTGTTGCGTGAAGTTGTAGGGATGCACACCAAACTTGTGCACACATCTATACAGAGGGAAAAAAGTATTTGATCCCCTGCTGATTTTGTACGTTTGCCCACTGAGAAAGAAATGACCAGTCTATAATTTTAATGGTAGGTTTATTTGAACAGTGAGAGACAGAAATAACAAGAAAATCCAGAAAAACGCATGTCAAAAATGTTATAAATTGATTTGCATTTTAATGAGGGAAAAAAGTATTTGACCCCCTCTCAATCAAAAAGATTTCTGGCTCCCAGGTGCCTTTTATACAGGTAACGAGCTGAGATTAGGAGCACACTCTTAAAGGGAGTGCTCCTAATCTCAGCTTGTTTCCTGTATAAAAGACACCTGTCCACAGAAGCAATCATTCAATCAGATTCCAAACTCTCCACCATGGCCAAGACCAAAGAGCTCTCCAAGGATGTCAGAGACAAGATTGTAGACCTACACAAGGCTGGAATGGGCTACAAGACCATTGCCAAGCAGCTTGGTGAGAAGGTGACAACAGTTGGTGCGATTATTCGCAAATGGAAGAAACACAAAAGAACTGTCAATCTCCCTCGGCCTGGGGCTCCATGCAAGATCTCACCTAGTGGAGCTGCAATGATCATGAGAAGGGTGAGGAATCAGCCCAGAACTACACGGGAAGATCTTGTCAATGATCTCAAGGCAGCTGGGACCATAGTCACCAAGAAAACAATTGGTAACACACTACGCCGTGAAGGACTGAAATCCTGCAGCGCCCACAAGGTCCCCCTGCTCAAGAAAGCACATTCACATGCCCGTCTGAAGTTTTCCAATGAACATCTGAATGATTCAGAGGACAACTGGGTGAAAGTGTTGTGGTCAGATGAGACCAAAATGGAGCTCTTTGGCATCAACTCAACTCGCCGTGTTTGGAGGAGGAATGCTGCCTATGACCCCAAGAACACCATCCCCACCGTCAAACATGGAGGTGGAAACATTATGCTTGGGGGGTGTTTTTCTGCTAAGGGGACAGGACAACTTCACCGCATCAAAGCGACGATGAACGGGGCCATGTACCGTCAAATCTTGGGTGAGAACCTCCTTCCCTCAGCCAGGGCATTGAAAATGGGTCGTGGATGGGTATTCCAGCATGACAATGACCCAAAACACACGGCCAAGGCAACAAAGGAGTGGCTCAAGAAGAAGCACATTACGGTCCTGGAGTAGCCTAGCCAGTCTCCAGACCTTAATCCCTTAGAAAATCTGTGGAGAGAGCTGAAGGTTCGAGTTGCCAAACGTCAGCCTCGAAACCTTAATGACTTGGAGAAGATCTGCAAAGAGTGGGACAAAATCCCTCCTGAGATGTGTGCAAACCTGGTGGCCAACTACAAGAAACGTCTGACCTCTGTGATTGCCAACAAGGGTTTTGCCACCAAGTACTAAGTTATGTTTTGCAGAGGGGTCATATACTTATTTCCCTCATTAAAATGCAAATCAATTTATAACATTTTCGCCATGCGTTTTTCCGTATTTTTTTGTTGTTATTCTGTCTCTCACTGTTCAAATAAACCTACCATTAAAATTATAGACTGATCATTTCTTTGTCAGTGGGCAAACGTACAAAATCAGCAGGGGATCAAATACTTTTTTCCCCTCACTGTATAAGGTGCATCGAGCAGCTTGCATTTCACAGCTGAATTAAACCAGACTAAACAAAGGCTAATAAAAGATGCTTAAACGGCAGTTACTATATCAACAAGGCAATTGTGGTTGTAAACCAACCATGCTGGCAGCATTTACGTTCTGCAAAGAGGTACATTTTATCAACGTAACCTAGGAATTGTAGATTGTTTTGCTGGGTAGGTTTTTGCGGTCATGCTGCACTGTACAGCTCTCCAGTGTTTGGATTCTATCATACTATTTTTGGCATGTCCGACGTTTCATTCCACGTTCTGGGAGTTTCTTCAGTTTTGAAAATGTTGATGTTTTGCTCCACATGCAGAGATTTTTTCAGTATCTGAAACTCCCAGTAGTTGAAAAACTTTGTAAATCATGCCAAACATGCAGTACAAACCAAACACACATAAGAACTGTAGAATTGCTCAGATAAATGGAAAAGTTAACCTATGCCTTTCAGCACTGTCTGTTGGCACAATGTCAAGCTTGCTTTAAGGTTCCAATCTACCCTGTGTAACAGAATTTCATGGCAAATTTGCAGCTTCTCCCAGTTGAATAGTCAACAGCGGAGAACTGTGTGACAAGATAAAGGAATTAGAGTAATCTTGGGATTACTTTTTATCACATACATAGGGCTTTGGGACCTAATAAATGCTCTTCTATCAACATTGCCCACCTTGGATTACAGTCCTTTTTGCTTAGGGCTGCAACTACAGATGGCTCAGCATCTGTGGGAATTTGGAGTTCAGATCACGATTGACCCACCAGCTGGAATAATTCACAGGAGCATTTTCAGCAGACCTGTGTCAAGCATTACAAAGACGAGGTTAGATTTAATTATAAAACCATTTTTATAGGACATAACTTTTTCTGGTGGTGAAATGGCACTGTCGAACTATCAACAACTCGTAGTTGGTTGCAAAGGGGATACATAACAAGGCTCCACTGAGTCCCAAAATCATCTTGTTGCTGCTGGAGTTGATGACAGTTCAGTGGCGAGATAAACCATTACATTATTTTAGAATTATTTGTGAAGGGAACGTATTTTTCGTGAGTACTAGTGAAGGCCACTTGTGTTGTGGCCGAAACGTCGTGATTTTTGTTGTTTTATTTTTTACCTACGTGACTTTACCGAATAGAACCAAAGAGTATAGTACTAGGTTTTGTTTCGAAATTAATGCTTTTTGTAACCTTTATTTAATTAATGGTGTTTCAACAATATGGCAAGTTGCAAATTGAAAAAGTACATTACATTATTAAAAAAAAGATAGACATAATAACCTTTTTGCATTCTTCAGAACTCAACGAAGTTTTTATTTACCTTTGGTGTCAAAAAATTAAATGTTTTCATTAAACTAGAACTGCATATAAAGAGGATAGTTTTTCCCTTTTTTATGGCAACAGGTTTTAAGATGTTAAAACACCAAACTCAAACCTTTTACAAGGAATCATGTCTGCATTAACCACAATACTTGTGGTCAGAATGCAAAAAAACTCTGATAATATATGCATTACTTATTGGCTCTTTCAGTAAAGTCACGTAGAAAGAAAATACATTAAATAGAATACGTTTATTTAATTAATTTTCTTTCAACGTGACTTTACCGAAAGAACCAAAAAGTAATAGATGCAGACACGAAAGCTCCAAATCAAGTTTAATATATGCAGTCTTTGAAACTGATTGGTCCACACCAGAGACAGCTTTCTTTTGTGGACCAATCAGTTTCAAAGACAATGCATATATTATCAGTGTTTTTTGTTTGCATTCTGACCACAATTTATCGTGGTTAATGCAGACATGATTCCTTGTAAAAGGTTTCAGTTTGGTGTTTTAATATCTTAACACCTGTTTTTTTGCCAGGAAAAAGGGGAAAACCTATTCTCATGTATATAAAGACTTTAAAATAATGGCTTTTTATCAAATAAACTGCAGCTAATCATGCGAATTTGCCTTTAACACAAGCCTTTTCCAAACCAATTACTGAAACTAACAACTAGTTCTTTGGGTCTTTCGGTAAAGCCAGGTAGATAGAACAAATAATATAAGAAAATATTAATAAAAATAAAATTGTTATTTTTTCCATCTACGTGGCTTTACCGAAAGACCCAAAGAATATGAATTCCTGCAGTCATGAAAGCTAGTTCACGGCACCTTCAACGTAACACAAACTTGCACTCGATTTGGCTGAATGCCTTCTCCAACAGCCTCGCAGTTGCTTATAAAGACTGCACTGCAATGTGGTTTCTATCACTCAATAGCTCAACGAATGTGTTTAACATTTTCCAATGGACATCTTTTACATTTATTTACTTTTAATATCTGCTTATGGCTGCGTCCAAGAGGAATGGCACGTACAGACATGTTGATGAGCAAGGACACTGGCCAGTAACATCGCTTTACAAATGCAATACCATTTATTATGCGTTAAACTGTGTCATATAGACTGTTCATTGTACTTTAACAACGATGCTTTATTAGAGGGAAAACATCCGTAGAAATAAGCAAATGCCGAACGAAGTCTATAAATAAGGCTTTTCAGTTTTAGACAACGGTACAAAAACGAACACGGTTGTTACCAAATTATTTGAAAACACCCGATGTTATAAAACGTCTAAAATGTGTATCTACAAAATTCAGAAATACTACATTTTAAGTTAATTGGAAATACATTAGAAAAAAACATCACAAGTATAGAAACCACTCCACCCTCCCCACACCCTTCAGTTTGAAAATGTATGCGGGTAGCATATTTAATAAAGGTCAGAAACAATACAGCGCCTTAGTTTTAAAATGCCATTCAAGGCTTGGCCAATGTGTCGTCACAGAAAGTACTCCTTCATGTTTTCTTCCAGTCCCTCACAGTTGTCCTCTACCGCTTGCAGTGCTGTGCCTTGCCCAATGCCAGGCTGGAACTTGCCCTCCTGCGTGCGGTAGGTACCCTTGTGCCGTAGGAAGTAGGACAAAACTACGCCCAGCAGGCACAGGATAACGATCACAGTCATCACGACCACAACTGCAAAGAGAAAATATTATTGTAAGCAGGGTTCGGCACACAACGAAGCCTACGACTGACGGAATTCAGAGGTGACTTCCAACTCTGCACTGGTAACAACTCCCCATAAACGCCACAGTAGTGATACCACCCCACCCCCGTTAATCCTGCTTGCATACTTAAAGGAAATTGACACCAAGATGAGTCATGGATGAGCATTCTTCTGTTGTGCCCAAGTTGTATTCGAGTTATTTTGCCTAAAGTTAAACATGGTTATGCAAAAGCAAAGACTTAGTTGACCCGAATAACTTTGTTCAATCAATTTAACGATTATCAAACACTATTGTGATTATAATTAGGCAACTGATTTGTGAACACCACCCATCATTAGCTCACAAGACAATACAATGTCTTCTATTTTAAAATGCAGTACTGTATAAGTTGTAGACAATTTCAATATATAAGGTGTTTGAGAAACTTTTATAAATATACGTACTGTATATTTACTATAATTTAATATAAGCACCCAAACGTCGGTGAACATGATTGGTATCAAATAAGCCATCAAAATAATTGTGACAATTTAGTAAATGTGTAGTGTTCTTCACGGAGGCACACACTTGACTTGGAGGCAACACGTTTATTCCAACACCCCAACCGGGTAACTACATAAACGTGTAAATTAACAACATCGGTGATAGCCAACTTGAGTATTTACTAAGCCACAACGGGGCAATTACATAACCGGGTCAGTCGGCAACATTCTGACTGCCCCAGGATTTCGAGTGAAGACCGAAGATCGGAGATACATAGCACCGAGGGTTGATTCCAGAGAACAACCCTGATCGGGGCTCGGGACTCGGCCTTTATAGGCCGTGGCGTGGCCAAGGGCAGAGCCCTTAGCCACGCCCCCTTCCAGATACTTCCCAAAAACTCTGGCCCCTACATCACGTGTCCCTCTCTCTACCCCTTTTAGGCCCCCCTTGCCACCTCATCCGGTCACGTGCCCTCTTGGGGTCACCCAGACTGTCATGTCCTCACTCGACCTCTCTCTGTCACCAGAACTATGCCCCCTAGGGCCTGCTTCCATGGCATACCCACTATGGTGCCCAAGAGGCCCAAGACCCACAGTTCCACTCTTGTGACGGTAGCTAGCACTAACCACCATAGTGACCCCCATTTGTCACTACAAATGTACACTCTTTAGTATTCGATCAAACTAACCAACTGCCCCAATTGTGTTTTATATTTTGTACTGCATTCTATAAGCCAGCAGATACATCACAACTCCCATTTATTATTAATTTTAACATACGGTCATACACATGGACAGATATATGAAGTTTTCATAAAAAAAGTATGTCATATCAATCCATAATTTGTAAGCAGTACGCCAAGATAATTTAAAATAAATTTGGTCAAGCAGACCGCTTCACATCTTCTCCGAATCTGAAAGGTGTTACTATTCTACAGAAGGTCTTTGTACATGGAGACACATGGTCAAACCTGCCTTGGAAGATTTGTAAACTCATGCATAAATGTGTTTTTGTTCTCTCACCCTCATCTATGTAATTATACACAATGGAATAAACACCAAACTGGCATGTTTCATCCACTCACATCATATATCATTGTGCATTTTTCTTAGAGTGTAAAAAAATTACACGGGGTAAAAATAAGGTTATTAATTATCATGTTATAAAATTGGAAGACTTTCAGCTCTCGGGAAAGTTTTGTTTATTTCTGGAATTACTCCGATGGAAATTATGTTTTTTTTGTAATTCAAGCCAGTGTTTCTGTGAAAGTTACGTGTTAAAAATGGGATGGTACTTATGGGGGTAAATTAAAATTGGTAACCAGTGCTGTATTCACTACCTACAGTGAGGGAAAAAAGTATTTGTACGTTTGCCCACTGACAAAGAAATGATCAGTCTATAATTTTAATGGTAGGTTTATTTGAACAGCGAGAGACAGAATAACAACAAAATCCAGAAAAACGCATGTCAAGAATGTTATAAATTGATTTGCATTTTAATGAGGAAAATAAGTATTTGACCCCCTCTCAATCAGAAAGATTTCTGGCTCCCAGGTGTCTTTTATACAGGTGACGAGCTGAGATTAGGAGCACACTCTTAAAGGGAGTGCTCCTAATCTCAGCTTGTTACCTGTATAAAAGACACCTGTCCACAGAAGCAATCAATCAGATTTCAAACTCTCCACCATGGCCAAGACCAAAGAGCTCTCCAAGGATGTCAGGGACAAGATTTTAGACCTACACAAGGCTGGAATGGGCTACAAGACGATTGCCAAGCAGCTTGGTGAGAAGGTGACAACAGTTGGTGCGATTATTTGCAAATGGAAGAAACACAAAAGAAGTAAATCTCCCTCGCCCTGGGGCTCCATGCAAGATCTCACCTCGTGGAGTTGCAATGATCATGAGAACGGTGAGGAATCAGCCCAGAACTACACGGGAGGATCTTGTCAATGATCTCAAGGCAGCTGGGACCATAGTCACCAAGAAAACAATTGGTAACACATTACGCCGTGAAGGACTGAAATCCTGCAGCGCCCGCAAGGTCCCCCTGCTCAAGAAAGAACATATACATGCCCGTCTGATGTTTGCCAATTAACATCTGAATGATTCAGAGGACAACTGGGTGAAAGTGTTGTGGTCAGATGAGACCAAAATGGAGCTCTTTGGCATCAACTCAACTCGCCGTGTTTGGAGGAGGAGGAGGAATGCTGCCTATGACCCCAAGAACACCATCCCCACCGTCAAACATGGAGGTGGAAACATTATGCTTTGGGGGTGTTTTTCTGCTAAGGGGACAGTACAACTTCACCGCATCAAAGGCACGATGGACGGGGCCATGTACCGTCAAATCTAGGGTGAGAACCACCTTGCCTCAGTCAGGGCATTGAAAATGGGTCGTGGATGGGTATTCCAGCATGAGAATGACCAAAAACACACAGCCAAGGCAACAAAGGAGTGGCTCAAGAAGAAGAAGCACATTAAGGTCCTGGAGTGCCCTAGCCAGTCTCCAGACCTTAATCCCATAGAGAACCTGTGGAGGGAACTGAAGGTTCGAGTTGCCAAACGTCAGCCTCGAAACCTTAATGACTTGGAGAAGATCTGCAAAGAGAAGTGGGACAAAATCCCTCCTGAGATGTGTGCAAACCTGGTGGCCAACTACAAGAAACGTCTGACCTCTGTGATTGCCAACAAGGGTTTTGGCACCAAGTACTAAGTCATGTTTTGCAGAGGGGTCAAATACTTATTTCCCTCATTAAAATGCAAATCAATTCATAACATTTTTGACATGCGTTTTTCTGGATTTTTTTGTTGTTATTCTGTCTCTCACTGTTCAAATAAACCTACCATTAAAATTATAGACTGATCATTTCTTTGTCAGTGGGCAAATGTACAAAATCAGCAGGGGATGAAATACATTTCCCTCACTGTACGTAGCCTTCGATACATGGTCTTTCCACAGTGGCCTAACATCCTGTTCAATCAATCAACCTTCTGTACTTGTGCAGGTCTATCCAATGGCCATATCTGTTAAAAAAAAGTCAACTGCAAAGTCGAATTTTCCGACAAATACCAATATTCTATATTCCTTAAATACACCATATACTATGTCTATTTAGGGTGTGTACCCATTTGCTAAACAGTTTATATACATCGTTTAACTGTACATAGGACCCCACCTTTACACAGCAGACACTCTACTGTACCATTTTGCTAAATATCAGACAAATAAAAACAATGTCAAAAACACAACTGTGAAAATATCAAGTGTAGTTGCATCCTATGATTGTCTTGAAGATACAAAAAATAGGGAGCTGTTATGTTGACATTTTGAGGACACTGCCCTTGACAGTAATACAGGCAGAAATACGTGTTGTCTCACCTGCCAAAACCACATCATCTGTGCCTCTTGCCGTGGGGCCTGCACGACACACGAGATGCACAATGAAAAAGGGGAGATGAATGGCAGCACCAAGTCCCAAGGATACTCAACACATTGACTGTTGATTTTTTTCGTGAAAAATGTGAGCTTTAAAAAATAAAATAAAAAAAATTCCATACGGGCCACTCAGACAATCGCTTAGTTTATTTGTGTGGTGTGTACGTTATGGGAACAGCCACTGATAAATAACTCTCTCTCTGGATGATTGGGAATAAAGTACCATCAGAGCCCCTTAGATGCCCACAGGAGGCATGCCCCCTTTTTTTTTAGATCACAAAAGTTGTCAAGACTCAAGACTGGCCAGGAGAGCCTTACAATTTTTTGCTACATATTGCAAAATTCAGGATGGAGCAGTGGGTGCAGCAGCGGATGCAGTGGTTGAAGCACTGCACTATGAACCAAGTAACCGGAGTTTGATTCCAAACCATTAGCAACGTCATTTATAACAGTACCACTTCTGGGTCTCTACAAAACAAAGACAAATATCCCCTGTATAGCCTTAACAGACTGTTGTGGCAAGTGCTGTTAACGAGCACCTATGAAGGACAGAACGGCACACGAGGGGGTGGGTAGCCAGCGACCACACCCGGCCGCCTTTGTCTCCCTAGTGGCGATGTTTACACACCACACCAGGTACCCATTTGAGGCCGAGTCGACCGAGGAGAGGCCCAGGACCGGTTCAGATAATCATCACTGGTATTGGCCGTGAGCGGGAATCTAACTCGGGTCGCCAGGTTCGTAGCCCAGCCGGCTAACCGCGACACTACCGCTCCCCACTCTACCTAACCTTCACTAACCCACAGTGATCAACCCCATAACCGATTTAGTGTGGGATGGCCTACATCCAGCAGTGGATTAAGGTCTGACAATTATTATAGTGCATGCTTAGACTTATGTTGTACATATTTTAAGGGCCACTATAATGCATCACATTCCCATAGCTTATGCCGATATTCAACGCAACTTCACAAGCAAGCATTGTCTGAAGCTCAGCCAACCTCAATGTCCCTGGCTGCCTTTTGTGGCCAGCTGTTGCGTTGTTGACTTTTGGACGATATATCTCATTACTGTGTCGAGTTAGGTCAAGTCAGTGCGAGCAAGAAAACTATATCGAGATTTGGAAGGAGTTTACTTGCATTTACTTGTGGACACCGCAGGTGTGTTGGTTGACACGACATCACCCATGCTGAGCGTTGTCGGTCTACTGTCGAAGCCTGTTGACTGACATCACAGAGGAGGGGGATACACAAATTAGACGTGGAAAGGGAAAGACAGACAGCATGTGGGGGACGTTCCCCGAGTTTGAGGATTAACAGAGGCGGACAGGCGGTCAATAAGCTCGGCTGGAAACTTCACTTGGACTATTTAAGTGTGCTTACTCGACGCCTGGCAGTGAATTAGAGCAACGGACACACTTTTCTAAACCTAATGTTTTTTTCATTAGCATGATGCAGTTTCAATTTGCTTTGTGCACGCATTGCGAAGCTAATGAATAAACAAAGAGCAGGACAAATCTGGTTCTGTACTTCTGCTAATGGGCGTGGGGAAGATACACAACCTGTTCTTTTACTTTCACCACATCCACATACAGTACAGTAATTGTGAACCGAGAGATGTCATCACGGTGCTGTCAATGCAAAGAGGTCAAAGGGAACCCGACCAACCGAACGCTGCCAGGTCATGTGGGGATGGTCGATTTGACACACTTGGCCAACAATAAAGAACTCGGATAAATACATTACAAAAAATGTTGAATTTGTAAGCGAAACAGCCAACCATCATGGCAATAACAAGCAGTATATATAATGCTTTTTAAAAAAACCACAAGTGTATATACAGTACAGACATGTGTGGTCTGCAAAAAAAACCAACATAATCCCAGCTCCGGCCGATGGAAAACAAACCAGGGCCCCCCGATGATAACTGGCTGGGGGGAGGAGAAGAAGAAGAAAAAAATCGTGCCAAGCAAAACGAGACGCAATAATTTACGAGCTGTAAAAGCTCGCGTTGGGTTTTAAAACAGGAAAATGCCGACAATTACGAGCCACCCTGGATACTCCACCACCCCCCACCACCACTCCCCTTACCCCTCACTTGGCAATTGTTTATCTTCCCCGTCTCCTGCTGCTTCCAACAGGCGATTTGAAGAGCCCCGTGCCCCAATTTCCATGCACACACAGCGCGACGACTCCCAGCACGCGAAGCGAGAGCACAGTTTTGGTTGCCAGCTAAACGTGTACAAGACAACCACGCAGTGAGGGGCCCCCCTCCTCCTCCTCTTTCAAACATTCACGTGCCATCGATTGCACATCGGTCACAAAGCCTCTCTCCCTACCCTAATATAAATACGTCTCGAGGATCTAATATAGCCGATGAGAGTCAATGTACAAAGCAAAGTACTAACTAACTACTAACTACGTAAGTCGAAAAAGTCTCCATCGCTTGCAGGAAATATTCCCATGCGCGCCGCCAATGTACATTGCGTGGGAGAGTGAAATAACATTCATGCGTTTTATTTACTTTTCTTCAGGGATTTTCTGTAACGTCAAGTAAATACGTTCAAAGAGAAGAACACACACACAAAAAACTAAACTAAACTAAAACTTCGCTTCGATCGCGACGCAAGCGTCCGGTCGTCTTTTAAACTTCGTCCCGATGACGACCGCTTGTGTCGCGATCGAAACGTCGTCGGTTGTTATTTGTTTTTTAATTTTACTATTAAAACACACGTAACGTGACTTTACCGAAAGACCCAAACGACACGGTCACGGAAAGCTTTCGAGTGAAGATTGTGAAATATAATCGTGATAAGAAAAACGCGCGTAACAAACGAAACAAAAAAACCACCCTCATAACTTATCAACAAACAGCACGGCACGCTTAGGGGCTTGATGTATTAATAATGCAAAGCGTGACATTTGTTATAATAAATACCATTAATCTTCGGACACCAAAATGTTCACCCGCAGCTGCCGGAGTAACAATAATAACGCCTTGGGCGTTGCTGCAAGGCGGCGATAAATACTGAAGCAGACCGGTTAATGTGGACACACTGGGCCCTTATTACTGCTAAAACTTTACTACAACAACACATATATACACACCACACACACATAGTGTCGTGGTCACGCTGTAAATGTACCGCGATGTCTTGCAGCAGCGAAGTTTAAATACAAGGCCCCACGCAAACAAACCTTGCGGCCTCTGCCTCAAAAGTGATGGGGGCGAGGTCAATTTAAAAAAAAAATCGCTCACATCACAATGTATGCCACATCGCATTGACAGGACAACGGCTCTGTAAACCGATAAGCACAGCGTACTCACGTTTGAGGTTCGCTCCATCACAGCCACCACGAGCCGTTGTTGTTGCTCTACACGGGTACTATGTGCTTACTGTATGGGGCACACAATTGCTGGCCAACTTTCCACCCCTACTACATTACATACCCCCTCCCAACCTCCTCCTCCTCCCCGACTCTTTCCTTTATCGCAAAGGGGAAAAAAAAACACGGCTTCACGAGCACAACGTCGATAATAATAACTGCCCCTCTTAACTTTCCTCGACAATTTACTTCCACTACTGTACTTGAGTCGACAAATTCACCGACGGGTGTGTAACTCAAGCCACTGGCGTTTAACCTATACTGGTCGGCTTGCTGTGGTGTGCTGGTTGGTTGCTTGCGTGGGTGGCTGTGATGGAAGGGCTGCTGGGGTTGGGTGGCTGGGCTGGGTTGGGTGAGTTTAGTTTGGGTGACTGTGATGGGCGTGGGACTGGTTGGGTAGGATGGCTGGGCTGGGTTTGGTGAATTTAGTTTGGGTGGCTGTGATGGGGGTAGGACTGTCTGGGTTGGGTGGCTGGGCTGGGTTGGGTGAATTTAGTTTGGGTGGCTGTGATGGGGGTGGGACTGGTTGGGTAGGATGGCTGGGCTGGGTTTGGTGAATTTAGTTTGGGTGGCTATGATGGGGGTGGGACTGTCTGGGTTGGGTGGCTGGGCTGGGTTGGGTGAATTTAGTTTGGGTGGCTGTGATGGGGGTAGGACTGGTTGGGTTGGGTGGCTGGGCTGGGTTGGGCGAATTTAGTTTGGGTGGCTGTGATGGGGGTGGGACTGGTTGGGTAGGATGGCTGGGCTGGGTTTGGTGAATTTAGTTTGGGTGGCTGTGATGGGGGTAGGACTGGTTGGGTTGGGTGGCTGGGCTGGGTTTGGTGAGTTTAGTTTGGGTGGCTGTGATGGGGGTGGGACTGTCTGGGTTGGGTGGCTGGGTTGGGTGAATTTAGTTTGGGTGGCTGTGATGGGGGTGGGACTGTCTGGGTTGGGTGGCTGGGCTGAGTTGGGTGAGTTTAGTTTGGGTGACTGTGATGGGGGTGGGACTGGTTGGGTAGGATGGCTGGGCTGGGTTTGGTGAGTTTAGTTTGGGTGGCTGTGATGGGGGTGGGACTGTCTGGGTTGGGTGGCTGGGCTGGGTTGGGTGAATTTAGTTTGGGTGGCTGTGATGGGGAGGCTGCTTGGGTTGGGTGGCTGGGCTGGGTTGGGTGGCTGGGCTGGGTTGGGGGTGACTTTGGTTGGCTTTGTAGATGGGGTGGACCAGATGTGGAAGGGGCAGCCCCCGGGGGGAGGTAGGGAAGGGGGCAGGGACATTTTTGAGAGGGGAAAAGGGGAACAGACCTCACTCAGGAAGTGACTCAACGGTTGTTTTTGTTTGTCCTCCACATGTGTAGGCCAACTGTTGCCTTTTCCACTGGAATCGAGTTTTTTTTTGCGTCCCACTACATGCTCGTTTTGGAAACTTTAGTTTGTGAATGCATTCACTTTGGGTTGTTATGATGATGATAACTTTCAGTAGCAAGTCACCGCTGGTGTAACCAGCACCACCGGTAGCTGAAAAACAAAAGCTGTTAACTAAAGTATGACGTTATCTGAAAAAATAGGTAATTTTATATATGCTTAATCATCGACCTTGGTCACTCCACTGCTGGATGAATGTCTCCCCAAACCACCATCTATCACGATTCTGTGATGGAACAACAAACAAAGATCCCCCATATAACCTGTACAGACGGTTGGGGCAAGTGCTGTTAACAAGTACAGTACCTATGAAGGCCGGGACGGTACACGAGGGAGTGGGTGGCCAAAGGCACGCCTGGACGGCTTTGTCTCCCCAGTGGTGATGTTAACACACCAGGTACTTATTTGAGGCTGAGTCGACCTAGGGGAGGCCATGATCGGTTCAGATAATCGTCACCGGTGTAACAGTGGCATGACGGTTCACCGAGCACCTGCACACGAAATTATTTCACCTTCCCATCTCCTTGGTGGATGTACTCTCAGACAAGTTTAATTTCTTGGCAGCCATTCGATCATTCGTCTTGACCATCGGCAATCATCCCTCATCGCGACTTGTCTCGCCAAGCCCACTTACATAATGCTTTCTTAAGAGTATTAATTATGACATTAACGTGCGCATGGTCTTCATGCCGTAGGTTCCCCTTTATTGTTTACCAACAAAATTCCAAACGTGCATATTTGCAAATGGTTCTAAAATATCAAATGTTTTTAATGTCACATGTGACAGCAGAGTATTGGAGAAATACAAAACAAATACAGGAGTCTCATCATTTCGTCATAATTTTGTTAAGTACAGTACAGTATCGGTACATAATATAGATAATGTAATGAACATGAAACTGCTGTATTCATACTCTTAATGGCGAAAGGCTTCTCTGAAGATGACTCCCACATCTAAATAATTCAATTGCTGATGCACTGTACGTTCACATTTTTATAATTTCGTTGGCTGCATCCACAATGTTTTAGATTATCTGAGCTATACTTTAAATAGATACTTGCCCGAATCAAAAACATTTCCTGGTGCCAGTATGGTCAATAACAGTCAATGTGGCCTTAGCTCTATGCTATAATTGTGGTAAAGTACAGCGTTTTCCCAAGTTGGTGCTTTGGTTTAGTCTGTGCAACATTAAACACACTGCCCTGGTATAACATACCTGAGGCATTACTGTACTTTAAGCTTTCAGACTTCACTTATCAGCTATGGCAGCCAAGTTCTATTCACTAATGGTTCAAAATGTCCCCATGCTGTCGCCATCCCATACCGTTCTACGATGTCACAATCAATCGTCCTGCACATGAGCCAAACGTATTGCTCCATCTCTGTGGCAGATGGAAATTTTGGACATGTTCTCTGCTTTGGCTGCCATTCTATCACAAGTCTCATCCATAAGCTATCATCCCTTTTACCGATGTGTCCTGCCCAAGCCCAAATTTCCGTTACCCATATAAGGGATGGCATAAATGTTGGGAAACTTTCATTCAGTAGTGCTGATTGTACTGACACTGAAATACACGCATACTTCATTAGAGTATTCCCGTTTAACGAATATACAGTAAACTAGCCTTTTGCCCATCCAAGTACGGGTGTATTGCAGTGCAAACGAAAAGCAGACCACGACGTGATATTCATTGTGTAGTGGCGTGTATAGTGTCTCTGTGGTGTAATTGCCAGTACCGAGAGAAGGGCAGTACTGTAGGTGGAGTCTTTCTCTAGCACCGGGATGAGTATGCAATGGAAGGGTCCCTAGGGGGCATTATTTCGGGTTAAAGCGAGAGAGGTCGGGTGAGGACATGGTAGTCTGGGTGAACCTGAGAAGGCACGTGGCCGGATGAGGTAGTAACGAGGGCCAAAGAGGAGGTGAGAGGGACATGTGATGTGGGTCCAGAGTCTCCAAGAAGGATCTGGAAGGGGGCGTGGCCACGCCGCAGCCCATAAAGGCCGAGTCCCGAGAGCGATCTTGGCTGTTCATATCTGGGAATGGAATTCGCCGGCTACGTCTTCGGTCTTCGGGCTTCACGCACGGCATTGTGGACCAGGCAGGGAGTTAGCTGACCTGGTCCGAGTATATAGTTATCCCATTGAGTGGTTATGTAGCTAACCGTGGTGGTCACCACCCTAAGTCCTTATCACGTATAGTGGCTATGCAGTTACACGTGGTTGCCACCCTATATCGTTTCCCGTCACGTGGTTATATGGTTATCCCGTTGTATTAAGAATAAACGTGTTGCCTCCAAGTTCGAGTGTGTGCCTCTGTGGAACCCACTATAATTGCATGAATGCGTGTGCAATTTGTAAGGGCGTGGTGACAGACCTACAGTGAGGGAAAAAAGTATTTGATCCCCTGCTGATTTTGTACGTTTGCCCACTGACAAAGAAATGATCAGTCTATAATTTTAATGGTAGGTTTATTTGAACAGTGAGAGACAGAATAACAACAAAAAAATACAGAAAAACGCATGTCAAAAATGTTATACATTGATTTGCATTTTAATGAGGGAAATAAGTATTTTACCCCTCTGCAAAACATGACTTAGTATTTTGTGGCAAAACCCTTGTTGGCAATCACAGAGGTCAGACGTTTCTTGTAGTTGGCCACCAGGTTTGCACACATCTCAGGAGGGATTTTGTCCCACTCCTCTTTGCAGATCTTCTCCAAGTCATTAAGGTTTCGAGGCTGACGTTTGGCAACTCGAACCTTCAGCTCCCTCCACAGATTTTCTTTGGGATTAAGGTCTGGAGACTGGCTAGGCCACTCCAGGACCTTAATGTGCTTCATCTTGAGCCACTCCTTTTTTGCCTTGGCCGTGTGTTTTGGGTCATTGTCATGCTGGAATACCCATCCACGACCCATTTTCAATGCCCTGGCTGAGGGAAGGAGGTTCTCACCCAAGATTTGATGGTACATGGCCCCGTCCATCGTCCCTTTGATGCGGTGAAGTTGTCCTGTCCCCTTAGCAGAAAAACACCCCCAAAGCATAATGTTTCCACCTCCATGTTTGACGGTGTGGATGGTGTTCTTGGGGTCATAGGCAGCATTCC